TCGCTCCAGCCCACAGCCTCGTTTTAATGAGCCCAGTGAACCGGCTCTCCCTTGGAAAGGAATCCGAGGGCTGCTCCGCTGCCAAGTTCCAGGCGCTTTGCCGTGACTCTCAGGAACGCGGGCCAGATGTAGGTTGAGGATGTCCGCGCAAGAAAGATTATAGGGCCAAGCTCCACCTTCCTTTACCTGCTCCTGTGTCGCCCCCCTGGAATCTCAGATTCGGCCACGACAATGAGGTCCTGTTGCAGCGAGAGCCGGCCCTTTATCACCACTTAAAATCTAATTAATCCATATTGAGGCACAAAGATTTCTGTTGTTCTTTAGGGTGAGGGGTCACAGAGCCCTCTTTGTTCGGGCTGCCACTTAGAATCTTCCAGCATTGGGGGTATAGTTTTACCGGGCACATTGGAAGGTAACAGATCAAATCCTTATCGGAAAGCCTAACTCATAGTTTTAACAGAGTCCTTTCGGCCTTTACATGAAACATTATATGCAAGAGGAACAAAAACACATTTCAGAGGCCCCAAGAGTTAATGACCAAAGCTTATATTCCCCGTGGCATCGATCTGAGACAGCACAGCACACACCAAAGGCGGCCGCCCTATAGGGCAGCGAACCAGCGGCCATGGGCTTGAGTTGCAGAGCCGCCGGGCAGTACCTGGGCCTCCTGCTCTCTGCGCTGGGCTGGGTCTTAACCATCATCACCACCTACTTGCCGCTCTGGAAGCATCGCAACCTGGACCTAAACGAGATGGAGAATTGGACCCTGGGGCTCTGGCAGGCGTGCGTGGTCCAGGAGGAAGTGGGCAGACAGTGCAAGGTCTTCGAGTCTTTCCTGGCTCTGCCGGCCGAGCTGAGGATCTCCAGGATCTTGATGTTTGTGTCCCATGGGCTGGGCGTGCTGGGCCTGCTGCTGTCCACGCTGGGCCTAGACTGCATGCGGGTCGGCGAGAGGCCGCCGGGGCTCAAGAAGCGGTTGCTGGTACTGGGTGGCCTCCTGCTGTGGACAGCGGGCGTGGTGGCGCTGGTGCCCGTGTCCTGGGTGGCGTACGGGACTGTGAGGGAGTTCTGGGATGAGGCCATCCCTGAGATCGTGCCCAGGTGGGAGTTGGGTGACGCTCTCTTCCTGGGCTGGTTCGGGGGGCTGTGTCTTCTCCTGGGAGGGGGTCTGCTCAACTGTGCTGCCTGCTTGGGTCCGGGGGCCCCCACTGTGGGCCTCGAGGAGGCCGGGGCCGCCTCCCAGCTCGGCGGGCATCCCCGAGAAATGGAGCCGCACCCCGCAAAGTGTCAGACCTGGACTGGCCCTCAGTCGCAGGCATGCAGGGGTCTTTTTAAGGAGGGACAGTGGTACCCACGCAGCGTCTCCATCAAGACCCGCTCCTGTCCTTCCCCTCGCCCAGAGCCGGAGAAGTGAGAGGCCACATGAGAGCCAAGAGGAGAACAGGATGGTGAGCGCGGCCTAGGTAGGACCAAGTGTGGCAGTGGTTAACCTGGTGGTCCCAGGCCAGGGCACCTGCAGCTTGCATATACTAATTCATATGCAAATTCTCAAATATGCTAATTTTATATTTCACACGCTGCTTTTAGGTGGTCGCTGCTCTTGAGGGGGTGGGAAGTTGATGGTTTCATTTCTAAAGGAAAACAGCAGCACCCAGAGCCTTGAACGGTGTGATTCTGTCAACCACTGCGTGCTGTCGTTAGGGTGTCTGGGGGAATGCTGGCCCCCATCGCAGGATGGGTTTAGGGCAGGCTCCTTGCCATCTGGGACCGGATTTTTTTTTTTTAAACCTGGCTGAAGATTTTCACAACATCCTGGTCCTCTCAGACTCAAAACATAAGCCCGTGTCCTCTCTCTTCCCTCCACAGCCCTGTCTTTAAAGACACAATCTCCAGAATATTCTGCTTGAGACTCAGACATTTGCCCTCATGAAAACGTTCCTTTAGTCAACTGAAAGGGACCAACCTGGGGCCGCGGGTTCTAGGTGGCGAGTCCCACAGGACTTTGTTGACAGCTTGCTTACTCTCCCTGGAGCACAACACATCCTCCCCCCAAAACAAAACAAAACAAACCCCCCTCAGGTGCTCAGGTTCCTCCCACAGCAGGAATGTGACTGCCAGGCATGCAGATCACGCCCACCTGCTATCTGGCTTAGGCTTGTTTTCAGGTGCAATGTGTTGAAAAAAAATTTTTGGAAGGAGGGAAGAGAGAAACACACACACACACCTTAAGGCTGAGAGAGATGATTGGTAGGAGATGTGTGTAGTGGGTTTGGAAAAACTTTGCGTGACCCAATTTTTATTTTCTTTTGCTTTTTGGGTCACACCCAGCGATGCTCAAGGGTTACTCCTGGCTCTGCACTCAGGAATCACTCCTGGAAGTACTTGGGGGACCCTATGGGATGCTGGGGATCGACCCCATGTCAGCCGTGTGCAAGGCAAACAAACACCCAACCCGTTGTACTCTCAACTCCGGCCCCAACCTTATTATTATTATTTTTGCTTTTTGGGTCACACCCGGCGATGCACAGGGGTTACTCCTGGCTCTGCACTCAGGAGTTACTCCTGGCCATGATCAGTGGACCATATGGGATGCTGGGAATTGAACCTGGGTCGGCCGCCTGCAAGGCAAACACCCTACCTGCTGTGCTATCTCTCCAGCCCCCCAACCTTATTTTTAAAAGCTGTAGCTCACACCTTAGGACAATGTCCTTACTGAGTACAAGAACTTTGACATGTGGATTTTTTTTTTTTTTTTTGCTTTTTGGGTCACACCCAGCCTTGCACAGGGATGGCTCTGCACTCAGGAATCACTCCTGGTGGTGCTCAGGGGACCATATGGGATGCTGGGAATTGAACCCGGGTCGGCTGCGTGCAAGGCAAACGCCCTACCCGCTGTGCGATCGCTCCAGCCCCCTGCCACGTGGAAATCTGACAGGCGCAATCAGGACCCAAAGGTAGGGGAGGGAGGTTGTCCGCTGGGCGCCCATTAAACGTCTTGCCTGTAGCCGTGGGCTTGTGAGAAAAGTGCCAGCAACTGTTCTCGCTTTCATACTGCAAAGGGGCGTCTCTCAGTGACCAGCTGCCGACTCGAGAACCCAGCCCAGAGGAGCCGGAGCGGATCCTGGCCACGCCTTAGTGTGACCGCTCTGCAGGACGATTTCCCCATCTTTTTTCTGTAACCTGTTCACCAGAGACTCAGACAATAGCCACTCTGGCAAGAATTCGCCTATATACACACAGTGGAGGGGGGTGGGGGAAGCTTCTGAGCTCCGTGAGTGATAACGCAAATGTCACCCTTCTCTGCTGGGAGAACCCGCGGCCCGCGGCGTGGGGAGCGGAGAACATGGCTTTCTGGGCTACGGTCTGGGTGCAGCTGGCGGGCCTCCTGCTGGCGGTGCTGGGCTGGGTGCTCACCTGTCTCACCACCTACTTGCCGCTCTGGAAAAATCGCAACCTGGACTTAAACTTGATGGAGAGCTGGACCCTGGGGCTCTGGCAGGCGTGCGTGGTCCAGGAGGAAGTGGGCTGGCAGTGCAAAGACTTCGAGTCCTTCCTGGCTCTGCCGGCCGAGCTGAGGATCTCCAGGATCTTGATGTTTGTGTCCCATGGGCTGGGCGTGCTGGGCCTGCTGCTGTCCGCGTTGGGCCTGGACTGCCTGCGGGTCGGCGAGAGGCCGCCGGGGCTCAAGAAGCGGCTGCTGGTACTGGGCGGCCTCCTGCTGTGGACGGCGGGCATGGTGGCGCTGGTGCCCGTGTCCTGGGTGGCATATGGGACCGTGCAGGAGTTCTGGGACGAGGCCATCCCCGAGATCGTGCCCAGGTGGGAGCTAGGCGACGCTCTCTTCCTGGGCTGGTTCGGGGGGCTGTGTCTTCTCCTGGGAGGGGGTCTGCTCAACTGTGCTGCCTGCTCGGGCCCGGGGGTCCCCGCTGCGGGCCGCTACGCAGCAGTAGGAGCTCGGTGCTCCCCAGGAAGAGGTGGCGCTGAAACCCAGTTCCCCGAGAACCTAAGCCAGGAAGTGTCTACATGCCGTTCTGCAACCCAGTGAACCCTCAAAGATGCTGCCACGGGCCCCGATCTCCTACCTGGAGGCCCTTGTTCTCTCGGGATGGTGTATTGCCCTCACCTCCCCCACTCGAACCCAAAGCCAGAAGGATGTCCCGTGGCCTGACTCGGGACCAAGGTGGGTGAGTTTCCCTCTGAGCGGAATAGAGAGGCACAGACAGGAAGGAGCCTGGCCACCGTACTCCTTGGACCTTTCCGGAGTGTTTGGAAATCCTTTGGACCTGGAAACTAGAGCCTCCGCCGAGCCTGGAGCTATTTCAGAGGACATAAAGAAGTAGAAGGTGCAGCGCCAACCTGCTGCCACTGAGGGGGACACGCAAATTCCCTGTGGCCTGAGCCTGCCTGCTCTCGGCAGCCGCGCCTAGCCAGGGCTCCCGGGCTCTGCAACAAGCCAGAACAGGCTGCAGAGAGACAGATGAAGGTAAAAACTGCAAACTCATGTGCTGTGCTTGGCGCAGCCCGGCCAGCTGGCTGCTCCTGGCTGGGGGGCCCCTGTGCAGGTCAGGGTGGGGACAGAGCTGGGATCCAAAGAACTCGGTCTGGAGAGAACTTTTGTTTGTTTGTTTGTTTTAGTCAGCAGTTCACATGGGCCAACCAAAAACGATTCCCAAATGCTGCTGGCCTGGGGCCTTCTTCCTGTGAGATTTTATATTTGCGCGATCCAAGTCAGTTCAAGCGAACTATGTCCAACCAGAGGACAGCGACTCCAGCGAGCAATGAGGCTAAATTAAAGGCTTAGGCAATACGTCTCTTTGCTAAAAAGAAAAAAAAGGGGCCTCTGAGAGACAGTACACAGGAAAAGGCTTAGCTGGGGCCCACTGAGTCCAACCTCCAGCACCCCTAGAACTTACATCCAGGTGTAACTCACCCCCCACAACAACCAAACCCGATGACTTATTTTTTTTTTCTACTCCAGAACACAGGAAAAATGAAGAAACTGAAGTTAATCTATGTGGTGTATTTGCATACTTTTACAAACAAGACAAATTAAAACAGAAACATTCGGCATTTAAACCTGATTAAATATTTAGTTCAGTCCTGAGCTTTTGATATTTAATACAATACAGATAAAGTGATAGGAAAAAAAAACCCCCAAGATATTAAATTTATTTGATTTGCATGCTATAGAGTCAGCTAAGCTTTGTTCATTTTGGCTAGCAATTTTCTTTTTGTACCTGTAACACTTGATTTCTGATATACAAAATTGTAATAACATACTGGTAATTCAAACTTGAGAACTAAATATTACATTCTTTTTACCCTGTGCGGAATAAATTCTACCTTTTTAAAAATAGTATTTATAATATTAAAATTCATATTTGCCCGTATGGTTTTGTGATCAAGTTATTAAAAAGGTTTGTCCTTGTGAATCACTGGGGCTAGTACAAAAATGATAGGACTGTTAAAAGCTGCCTATAAATACACAAACACTATTGTTGATTTCTAAAGTGTGGAAAAGGATTATATTAAAATACATTGGTCTCTCGTGTTAGAAATGAGCACATCGTGTAGAATAGACCCAAAAGCATCGTGGTCAGAACGGTTAACTGCCTGCCCGAGATAGAGTTTAAGCTGTCACACCTGAAACTTTTTGTATGACGAAAGGTAAGAGCGAATCTGATGAAGTTTTATAAAGCTGTCAATAGAGAGCCTCTTCTATGTCAAACACTTACAATGGCCAGAACCAAACTATATATTAAACAGAACATAAATAAGACCGTAAATAAATAAATGAAGAAAATAAAATCGTACGGTACAGCTACACATAATTGTATAAACATTTTTATGGTCGAGATTAAGAAGCCGCAAACAGCTGGCCTTCCTTCACCTCTACATTAAATAAGCTTCTGTCTTTCACATTTGACCTTGACAAGGATGAATGGATGGGACTCTCGCTTTCCCGAGTCAGGGATCAGAAGCGACAGCCCGCTCGCCAGGCTGGTTCTGCTGAAAGTGGTCTCACATCCGGTGAGAGCTGCAAATCCATTTGCACATCGGTGGCGGGGACACTTAGGAGCAATAGCGAATGTTCTAGGCTTAGAAACTGCTTCGTCTGGATCTTGGTTCTGATCAAAGGAACCTTTCCAAATAGGCATCGTTGCTTTGAAGAAAAAAAAATTTTTTTTTTAAATGCACCAGTAATAAGAACTCTATCTTAGGAAGAGAAGTATTTGGCGCTGGTTGTTTCCTTCCCTTTTTCTTTTGAAAGGGTGCACTCCTTGAAGGTGGTTTTTGCGTTAGAACCAAACAAGACCTCCCTCCCCCTCCAACGCAACTTGAGCTTGCTCTTCGAGCTGCCTGACCACACACTGCCTCCTTGAGTCCAACAGCCTGGGACTCTGACAACGACTGACGCAAGGAAACGCTGGTCTCCAGGGGCTGAAGAGACAGGCCAGCCCGGAAGGCGCTTGCCTTGCACGCTGCTCACCCACGTTCAATTCCCGGCATCACACACGGTCCCCGAGCACCTCCCGGAGCACAGCGCCAGGAGTAACCACTGAGCACTGCTGGGTGTGCCACCACCCCCCAAAACTTTTTTTTAAAGCAAAGCAAAGCAAGGCTTTGTCCAGGTGGCTCGAAGTTGTCTCCACAGAGTGGGAACGGGCAGGTGGCTGTTCCACAGGGAGGTTGCTTGGGCCACGTCCTGGCTGGCATCTGGTCCTCCAGAGTTATTTCTCTCAACAAACGGCCTTGCCTGTTCTCTGCAACCAGGCTCCTCCCTCTAAGGGGGCCAGGGTGGGGGTGGGGCTCAGGCTGACTCCAGAGGTCTGTCTGGGGGTGGCCTTTCTCCTCAGACCTTCTGGGCGACTTCGATTCATCCCAGATGGTCTTTCCTCCCCCTGAAAGGTTCTACCTGAATCTCGTGGGTGATGGCCCTTGGCCGCTCCCATCCTGTCTGAGCCGGGGAACCCAGGGCACCCCCCCAACTTTGCGTCCCAACTCCGGGCCACTCTCTGCTAGGGCAAGCTGGAAACTCTCCCGGGACACTGCGCTCCAGAGCGTTTATTTTGGTGTTTGTGGGGAAGCTGCCCTGAGGGCCGCCCGGCCCCCTTGCTCTTGGTGTGTTGTCAGCCCATCAGAGCTTGGGGTCTGCCTCTCCCGACCACCACATACGGACAAAATGGAAACCCAGGAGACCCAGGTTCCTGGCCAGGCGCAGACGAATGCGCGCGTGGCTTGGGTCCATGCATGGAAGTGGCCGGCCCGTGGGGCATGTCCTGTCCTGCTGCCTGTCCCACCCGCCGTGGGAACGGGCCCAGCCTGTGGTGAGGGTGTGTGCCCAACCACCCACTTCCCCATTTTTGGGGGGTGGGGGGAACCGGATGAACCCACTGTGGTTTTCTGATTTCTTTTCTTTTCCAAGCATGTAGGGATTACATTCGAGTCACTTTTACAAATGAACGAGTCTCCACCGGACGTGAGATTGAAGCTCTTTTCGGAGGGGCCAGGCTTGGTCCCGCCGCCCCGGGGGCCGGCCCGTGGGCGCCTCACACGTCGTCTGCAGGCAGGGCAGGGATGCTGATCTTGGCCCGGGTGAAGTAGGCCATCTTCTCCCTGCGGGGGACACATGGGTGGGTGCTGCAGGACCCCGAGAAGCCCTGACCCCGCTGGCTCGGGGCCAACTCTGGGGCACCCCGGGTCAGATCATGTCTGGGGTCAAGGGCGACATTCAGGGGGATTTCTCGGGACTCCCCCCGCCAAAGTGCCTGCAACCCAGGAACCTCCTTCAAAATCAGCAGCTGCTGGAAGAGGTGGGGGGGGGGAGGGGGGAAGGGCGTGTGACAGGCCAGTCTGTCCGGAACCTGCATCCAGGATGGGTTCACACGGCACCTTGTGAGGCCGGTGTAGACGAAGAGAGGTGAGGTGTGCAGACAAGGGAAGGATGACGAGGAAGAGAGAAACCCTCGAAAGAGCGAATGCAGGCTCAGGGCACTGAGGGATGTCCTGCACCCGGAGTCTGCCCTGCGCCCCCCATTCGCACCCCCAGGGCACGTGCAGACACATCTCCCAGACCCGCCCCCGCTCTGCCCTCACTCTCAGATGGGGGGTGCTCTGGGGAACGCCCCCCACCCTCAACTTCCGCTCTTCCCCCTGAATCGCCACTTGGCCAGGCCTCTGCCCCCTTGTGCAGCCGCTCTAGGGAACCTTTACCCTGCACACACCCCTACCCCCCCCCAGACCTCCCCACCCACCCCTGCTCATCCCCCCTCTTCCCGTGTTCTCTCCCCTCACGGGGTGGGGGGGGGAATCTCAGTGAGGGTCCCCCAGCCACGCTCCCCAAGACCACCCCGTGTCTGCTCTGGTAACTCCCCCTCGGAATCCCAGAGCTCCCGGGGTGCTCACGGCGCAATCACCCCCCTGCTCACCTGAAGGACTGCACCTCGCGGGGCACGTTCTGGCTCTGCTCCCGGAGGCAGCTCACGTCCTTGGACACGCGGCGCATCAGCCTCTCGGCGCTCAGGCCGTGCTGCTGCTCCTCCTGTGCCTGCTCCGCCTGAGAACGGGGGAGAACACAGAGGTTCTGGGGCCTGAATAAAAGCCTGAAAGCCTGGAGGGCTGCCTGGACGCAGAGGCACTCTTCTCGCCACCAGTGGGCAAGCTCCAGGCGTGAGTCACAGCCCCAACCCGGACAGATCTCAGAGCCCGATCAGTTCCCATCAGGAAATTGACAGGGCAAACCCCTCGAGGAGGCCAGAGAGAGTCACAGCAAGAAGGTCCAACGCTTTCCAGGGTCCCTCCGCTGGCGGGGGCAGGCGCTCGCACTGCCCTTGGCCCGTGGCCAGCCCAGGCGGCCACACGCTGTGGCGTCCAGGAGGGCCGAGGAGCCCTGGGGAGGGGGCCGAGGCTGGTGCCCTCCACAGCGGGCTTTGGAGAGGAGGGGCCGACCTTACTCACCTGCTTCTCGGCCTGCTTCAGAAGCTTCTGGAAGCGCTCGTCGTCCAGCACCCCGGGCGGCAGGTCGGTCTGGCCCTGCGCCTTCAGCTCCTCCAGCTTCTGCCTCAGGCCGCGCAGGGCCTGCAGCTCGTCGTTGAGGCGGCTCTGCCGGGTGAGGGAGGCCGCCAGGTCCAGCTCCAGGTCCAGCGACGTGCGCGCCGGCCGCTCCTGCGCTGCTCTCCTCAGCACTGGCTGGCACACGGCCTGCGGCGGGGAGACCCTCAGGCAGGGGGGCCACGAGCCCCTCGCTCCCGAGCCCAACTCCACACTCCTCCTAAGCCCTCACTCCACACTCCCCATGAGCCTCTCACCCCACACCCCTCCCAAGCTCTCACCCCACACTCCCCGAGCCCCTCACTCCACACCCCTCCTGAGCCCCTCACCCCACACCCCTCCCAAGCTCTAACCCCACACTCCCCCTGAGCCCCTCACTCCACACCCCTCCCGAGCCCCTCGCCCCACACCCCTCCCAAGCTCTCAACCCACACTCCCCCTGAGCCCCTCACTCCACACTCCCCCTGAGCCCCTCACTCCACACCCCTCCCGAGCCCCTGACTCCACACCCCTCCCGAGCCCCTGACTCCACACCCCTCCCGAGCCCCTGACTCCACACCCCTCCCGAACCCCTCACTCCACACTCCTCCTGAGCCCCTCACTCCACACCCATCCTGGAACCCTCACTCCACACCCCTCCCAAGCCCTCACTCTACACCCCCTCCTGAGCCCCTCACTCCCACCCCTTACTCCCGATTTGTGGGGTCCATCAGCCTTTGCTCTGAGGCGGTGCAGATGCTCCTACTTAGCCTGAAATGTGGGCGACTAGTCAGGGAGAGGGGGTGTGTGGGGTAGAAGCCTGTGTGCTCCCTGGGGCTGTGCCTTTGGGGGTCTGTCCCTCCAGTGCACCTGAGGGTGGGTCCCCATGCTCTTCTACCCCACCGGCTATCTGCTTTACTTTCTCGTTCCTTGTGTGGTGGCCTGCATGCATTTGCGTGCTGAAACACCCACTGAACCCTCATCGCCCGCAGCTTTTCTCCCTTTGAGGGGAGGGACATGGGGTCTCCTGGCTTGGCACCAAAGCCCACCCCCAAGGGCTGGGGGGCCGCTGGGGGCTCTCCGGCAGAGCGCACCCTCTCCCCGCTGTGCCCTCCGGAGCAGCCTCTCCTCCTGCTAAAGTTCCTCTAGTGAGTCAAGGAAACACCTGCCTTGAGCTTCCTGCGCATGGGGACCTGAGCCCTGCCCGGCCTGGGCTTCTCCCTGGGGAAGGAGCCGGTGTGGGTGCCGGGCACAGGGTCTAGGTGTGGACTCGAGGCCGAGGCCCTGCTCCACTGAGCTGCAGCCACGCTCAGGACTCACAGCCCAGGCCTTCATGGGACGAGGGGGCAGCGTGTCCCCCCAGCACCGCCGTCACTGGCCAGGTGTCCCTCTAGCTCCATTCACTGGCAGTGAGTCCCTCCAGCCCCATTCACTGACCAGCGTGTCCCCCACTGGGTCAAACCCGGAGGTGGAGCACGGGGAGCAACTCCTGTCTCCGGAAGGGACTCGGGTGCTCGAGGGGGCACCTACCCTTTTGACTCTCAAGCTCCGCCGCTCCGTGGAGTTCCTCACAAACAGGGACTTTTTCGCCAGGGTTGAGCTGTCACTGTCGCTCCGATTTAACTGCCGGTAACAGAGGGGAAGAGAGAGAGTCACCAGGGGACGGAGGCGAAGGGAGAGGGAGACGCACAGAGCGACGTGGGAAGTTTATTTCTCTCAAGGAAACCCTCACCCAAAATCGGGGGGGGGGGGAGCGGGGGGTTTCAGCAGGAGGACAGGGACAAGGACGGATCCCAGAGAGACAGAGCAAGGGGGCCTGGGCTGGATGCAAGGCCCAAGTCCCTGGCCTTGGGGTACAAAAGTAAAGTGGGGGGGCGGCTGGGGGGAGGAAAAAGGGAACGGGAAGTGACACACAGGCCGAAGGAGGGAGTACTGGGCACTTTGGTAGGGATGGTTCAGTCACTGGACATCAAGACCACAAATGTGAACAGTATCGTGCACATCTGACCGAAAACAATGACAGCAATAATGAAAAGTAGTTTCAGAAGAAGAGAGAGGATTCCTCCAAGTAAGTTTTCCCCTGCTCTATAGACTTTTCTGGAACAAGGGCTGAGCTCATTCATCGACGAACGCCAGCGTCCAGAATGGGTTTGGTAAGAATATCCATGAAATGAACAAACTCCGAATTCCGAATCCATCCCTCTATCCCATTCTACAAGGCGGAATCTCGATGCCTCTCGACCCTCATTCTGTAAAACGCTGGCGAATCCCACAGTATTCTTCCAGGGGCTTTTTTTTTTTTTTTTTTTTTTTGGTTTGTTAGGTGGTTCTAAAATCCAATTCTCGATGTCCATTTTGGCAGCTGTCAAGCCTGATCCGTCCACAGCCGAAACACACGAAGCTGGATGCGGCTGGGACCTCCCGAAAACTCCAGACGGCTGGGTCCAAAGGCGCCCACAGTGGCCCTTCACAAGCCACCCGCATCCAAGTGACCAAGAGGACATCAGGGCCGCACACACCCCAACTGGTGGCATCATGTGTGTGCGTGTATCTTGGCGGCCCTGGCCAGCAGGGTCCCAGCGCTCCCCTCGGCCTGCGGTCACCGCAGGGTCCCTTGATCACTGGGGTCCCCCTTACCCGGCAGATGTACTGGTTCCGCTCCCCAGGGGAAAAGGTCTGCGAACGCACGATCACGCTGCTCCTCACCAGGGGGCGCTGCCGAGCACTCAGCCCGCCGCGGTCTTTGGGGCGCACGGCCAGGCCGGCGCTGCCCGCCTCCTCCGTGTTGGTCTCCTTGTCCACCTGCAAGGCAACGGGCGGCTCCTGAGGCACGGCCACCCTCCTTTCTTCCTCGTAGGAAGGCCACAGAGACGCGGTGGGGTCGGAAGGAGGGTTGGGGCAGGTGTCGATGCCGTGTTATCCAAGAAAGCCTTTACTAGAGTCCTTAAAAGTTAGCCTCATTGGGCTGGAGAGATAGCATAGCGGGTAGGGCGTTTGCCTTGCACGCGGCCAACCCGGGTTCGATTCCCAGCATCCCATATGGTCCCTTGAGCACTGCCAGGGATAATTCCTGAGTGCAGAGCCAGGAGTAACCCCTGTGCATCGCCGGGTGTGACCCAAAAAGAAAAAAAAAAAGCTAGCCTCACAGGCCATAACATCCAAAAGGACAGAGGGAAGGTGCCTGCCACAGAGGCGGGGGGCGGGGGGGCAGGAAGGGGTGGGGGTGGTGGGAGGGATACTGGGAACATTGGTGGCGGAGAACGGGCACTGGTGGAGGGATGGGTACGCGATCACCGTATGACTGAAACGTAATCGTGAAGGTTTGTAAGTCTTTAACTATCTCACAGTGATTCATTAAAAAAAAAAAAGTTAGGCTCTGTGGGGAGTAGAGAGGTCTGTCCAGCCCGGCCACTGAGATGAAGCTGCCTTTAGCAGATGAGGCCTACAAAATGCAATGCATGTTTGCAGGGGGGACCGCAGATCTGCAGAGGGGACGGGCAGGGGAGACCTTCAAAGGCTGGCACCTGGGTTGGCATGCAGGAGCCCCAGGCGGATCCCTGGCACCACTGGGGAGGGGGACCCTGCAAGCCAAGCCAAGCCCCCAAACTTCTCCCCAAGAAAATAGATTGGTTTGCAGGGTGCAAGGGGTAACTACAGCTCTGTAAAGGATCTTACTCACAGGGCTAGAGCTTTAGTACAGTGGGGAGGGAATTTGTCCTGTGCTGACTGACCCAAGTTTGATCCCTGGCATCACATCAGGTCCCCCGAGCCCTGCCAGGAGTGATTCCCGAGCACAGAGCCAGGAGTTAAGCCCTGAGCACCACTGTGTGGGCCCTGCCATCCCAACCCTTACAAAAGGAATTTTTTTTTTAATAAAGAAGATTCTTATTCAAGAATGCTTAATCAAGTATTCAATGCTCTTGATTAGTTCTCTCTAGAATAACAGAAGTATGTAAGAGAACACAAGTGCACTATAGATTTATATAGAATATGTAACCAAGTGTCTATAAATAGAACGATTTTGGGTCTGTGGAAATGCAACAAAAGAGCATAAACTCTGAGCATAAGTTGGTCTGAGTCTGCGCCCGCAATCTGTTCCTCGGCAGAGTCTACGCAGGTGCTGAGCCTGGGGCTGGAATCTTCGAGGCTCCTCAGCGAGGGCGGCTGTCAGTCTCCCGGTGACGTGAGATGCTTCTGGGCCACCTGTCACCTTCCAGAATTGGTTCTAGCCAGAGGCCTTGTGTTTGACGGTTCCCGAACATCGCACTGCATATCCGCAATGGGCTAGAACTTCCTTGGCCAGTCACAGACCCAAGGCAGAACCAGTCATCTTGGGAAAAATCTTACGTTGGAAAATGAATATTCAGGCTCTGCTAAATGTTCTGTAGAGTCTGGGAACTGGCTTGACAGAATGGCCGCAAGCGTTTTGTGCAGGAATCCCGAGTTCCATCCCCTACAGCACCTGGTCCCGGGAGCACCGCTGAGAGTCACCCCTGAGCACTGCGCAGTGCGACCCCCCCAAAGTAACAAAATCTCAGTCTAGTCCCACAAAATATTGGTGTCACTGGTTTGTTTGTTTTTTTCCCCCCGGGTGGGGAGGCTTACCAGCAGTGCCTGGGGGTCGCAATGCCTGGCAGCGCTGGGGACTGATATGGAGTCGGGGTTGAACCGGGGTGTGCCAGAGCCGGGCGCTTGCCTTAACCCCTGTACTATCAACCCCAAGTGACTTGCTTGGGAGCGGATTTTGCACAGTGTGCTGTGCACAACCACACACACACCCACACTCACTTAAAAACACACAGACCCACACTCACACACCCACACTCACTCAAAAACACACAGACACAACCCCACACACCCACACTCACAACCACACACTCACACTCACAACCACACACATACTCACACACTCACAAACATATACTTACACATTCACACACACTCATAAACACACCCTCACACACTCACAAACACAAACACACACACCCACACTCTCATACACATATTCACAAACTCACACACTCACACACATAAATACACACAACTCACAAACACCCACACATCGATAATCACGAACACACACACACATACCCACACTAACACACACCCACACACCCGCACTCACACACACATAACATACTACACACCCACTCACACACACAGAAACACACACACTCGAACACATACACACAAAGACACACACACAACACCCCCACGCACACACACACTCTCACACACACACATACCCACACTAACACACACCCGCACTCACACACACGCATATACATACAAACACACACACCCACTCTCACACACACAGAAACACACACACACTCACACAAACACATACACACACAAAGATACACACACAACCCCCCCCCACACACACTCACACAGTCACACACACACACACATCCCCGTTTGGAAAGCAGTGCAGTTAGAGCTTCTCACCAGAGTGGGGGTGCCCAGGGCGGGGGTGCCGGCGGGCGTCTGTCCACCCAGCTCTCTGCCATAGCTGCTCTCGCGCCTCCCGCTGTCGTCAGCCCTCAGCTGGGGCACACGGGCGCAGGAACGGCCGCAGGACCTGGGGGCCCCAGTGTTGCCTCCGCCGTCTGCCGGTCTCCTGGGCGCCTCCTCCTTGGCCGCCAGCTCCTCCGAGGCCTCCCGGAGCATGGCTAACCTGCGGGGCGAGAGACGCGGTCGGCCTCCTCCTCCCACAGCCCGTCCCACACTGAGACAGACTCCCTCCCTGCACGCTCAAGGGCACCTCCTCCGAGAAGGCGCCGGAGAAGGGAAAGGTGCCGCCGGGCCGAGTCACCCCAACCTGGGGCTGGAAAGTCAAACCGATGAAATCAGACCTCAAATCACCTGGAAATCACCCCTCACCTTTAACCCCACCACTAATGATGGACACAGGGGGCAGGCACGACAGGACACCCGGGAGGTTGTGGGTCCACCAGGCCTCGCATGTGTGACTGACCTGGGTTCAATCCCTGGCACCCCATATGGTCCCTGAGCATTGAGTGCAGAGCCAGGAGTAACCCCTGAGGCTCCTTAGGTGTGACCCCAAAATAAAAATAAACAAAAAGGACAGGCGCTAAACAGAGCCTCCCCACCCTGAGCGGAGAGCCCCCCGCCCTGAAGACTGTCAGGACAGCCTGACCCCCTACCGGCTGTGAAGGAAAGGGCTCACATACCAGTCTCCATCAGGGCCCCTTTGCTCCTCTTCCTCCTCCTCTTCCTCTTGTGCTAACTCCTGTTCCACAGCCAACAGCTCCGCCGACGTTCGTGCCAGCAAGGCTGACACTGCGTCCTGGGGAAAGGAGAAGGCGAGTGACCTGGCCTGCTCAGCCAAATGGGAGAGCCCAGTGTACAGTGACCTGATTTCCAGATGGACGGCGTCAGGCCATGAAGGCTGCCCCACGGGCTTCCGCTGTTTCAAACACTGACGGTAAAGGGAGTCCCAAACAGCAGACTGCTAGGAGTGCGTGGTGGAGAGGCGGTCATCAACCACCAGCTCTGGGGGGAGACACGCTGACCGCCCAGGGCACAGGCAGTGTCTGTGGGATGCCAATACCGCCCCAGGTCGTCAGGCAGGGGCAGGGGTGCAGAGATGCCTCTAGTCCCGGTAGGAGGGATCCCTGAGTTGAGTTCAGAGCCAGGAGTAAGCCCCAAAACCACGGCGGGGGGGTGGGGAGGGGAGGGCAGTAGGAGAAAGGGTAAAATAAAACTGAAATAACCAGAAGGATGGAAAGATGAAAGAGGTAGGGCACTGAGTGTAACAGAGAAGTAGTGGAGGGGCTGGAGTGATAGTACAGCGGGGGAGGGCATTTGACTTGCACGTGGACGATCTGGGTTCAATCTCCCGGCATCCCATATGGTCCCCCAAGCACCGCCAGGAGTAATTCCTGAGTGCAGAGCCAGGAGGAACCCCTGAGCATTGCCGGGTGTGACAAAAATAAAAAAACAAGTAGTGGAGAAAAGGGCTGGAGCGATAGCACAGCAGTTAGGGCGTTTGCCTTGCACGCAGCCAACATGGCCGACCCGAGTTCGAGTCCTCTGCCCCTCTCAGAGAGCCCAGCAAGCTACTGAGAGTATCTTGCCTGCACGGCAGAGCCTGGCAAGCTACCCGTGACGTATTCGATATGCCAGACACGGTAACAACAAGTCTCACGATGGAAACGTTACTGGGACCACTCAAGCAAATCGATGAACAACGGGAGGACAGTGACAGTGACAGTGGAGAAAAAAAACAACAAACCCGAAGCTAGTGGTGTGAAATGACTGGGAACAGATGACAAAGCTCTAGTGGGACCGACAGGGGAAACGAAGCCGAAGCTCAAACGACTCAGATCCGGAATGGAAGAGGCCTTTTGAGGTGCAGAGCGGGAGAGTGGGTACTGGGGGCACCAAGCACGGGCCGAGTGCAGTGCAGACACGCAGGCGAGAGTCCAGAAGGGAGAGAGCCGCGAGTCCAGAGGTGTAAATGCCGAAAGGTGAGGGGCCACCCGCTTGGGACCAAGTGATAATTCACTATAGAGAAATTTTTTTTTCTTTTTGGGTCATACCCGGCCATGCTCAGGGGTTGGTTACTCCTGGCTCTGCACTCAGGAATTACTCCTGGCGGTGCTCCGGGGACCATATGGGATGCTGGCCGCATGCAAGGCAAATGCTCTACCCGCTGTGCTATCGCTCCAGCCCCCGAGAATTTTCTTTTCATAAATGATGTTGGAACGACTGGAAGGTCACAGGCAAAGATGCCACCTCTGCCAGGGACACGGCATCCTTTGAGAAACGGCACGTGGGACAGAGCGAGGGACGAAGAGCTGAGGAGTCAGCGGCCAGAGCTTCCAGGGGCTCCTGATCTGGTGAGATGTGCTGCTCCTCCAAGCCCCACTCACCAGGTCGATGGCGTCCACCACTAACGGCTGGTCCTCGTGAAGGGCGGAGTCTGCGTTTTCATCTTCATTCTTTTTCCACGGCGTTTGCTTAGACTCAGATGGCAGCAAGTTATACCACAGCGTGAAAATCTCATTGGAAAATGGTAAATCAGCCAGACTGATCTGGGTTCCAGCCTGGGAAAGGAAACCAAGGCAGGGTTGGAAAAGGAGGGAAGAGAGAAAAAAAATTGTTTTCAAATGCTTGAAGTCGTATTAGCTCCTGCTCACTGTGAAGAGGACCAAGTACCCTCACTTAGGGCTGAACGGGGCGGTTCTCTGGCTGTGAAGCGGTACTGGATTGTGGCTGTGCTCTGCCCTGGCGGTGTGTGGTGCCACGTGGTGGCAGGGCGGAAACCCAGACTCCAATATACGCAAAGCACGGCAGAATCAGAGAGTATCTTTCTCTCTGGCCCCCGGGTTATTTCAACAACCTGGAGATATCTTATGTTTCCAGGTGTAACCGAATAAGCCATAATCTGCCATCTAAAAGCCCCCACCCCTCCGTCTGTATTATTTAGGGAGATACTCTTGCCAACACCTAATGACTCAGCATGCAACTTTTGGGGCGCTCAGGACTTACTCCTGACTCTGTGCTCATGGCTTACTCCTGGCAGTGTTTGGGGATGGAACCAGGGTTCAGTAAGCAAAGTAAGTGTGTTAGACCTTGTATTACCGCCGTGCCCCCTAAGCTACTTTATTTGGTTTGGAGACCGCACTTGGGGGTGTTCAGGGCTTCATCCTGGCTCTGCACTCAGGGGTCACACCTGACGGGGTTCAGGGGCTCATCTGGGGATCCCACCCCAGCCAGCCACGTGCAAGGCAGTTGCTTCATCCCCTGCGCTCTCTCTCCAGCCCTGGCACGCCACTTTTGAGAAGAAAACTGTCTTTAAATGAAAAGTTAAAAGAGATAAACATCAGCATTGCATCACAGCATTTTTCTACTGTCAGAGTAATTAATACTCACCCCCCCAAATAAAAATTATCCACTGAAAAATTTCAAAACAAACAATAAAAACTTGACTTTGTCTATTAAAACTAACTAGACATTTGCGGCTGGGAAGCACGACCAATGAACATGTCTGCTGGCCTGTTACACAGGTGCTGTGCGTCTGTCTTTGCTTCTCTTTAGTCAGGCAATATTATTAAACGTTTTTCTTTTTCTTCTTTTGCGTATAGAGAAAGAATTATGAAGACCCTTATAGTCCTTTTAATCCTTGTTCCTGCTGAAATCCAGGCTTTCTACGTTTTCCACATTTCCTACTGGGTGGTGGAGTTCAAGGGGAGCTTTGAACCCACACACACGTCTCCCAGCGCCTGACTACAGGCTGTTTGAAATGTGACTGCGCTGTAATGTTTTCTGGTGATTCTGTCGATGCTGCGACAAACTACTAGGGATGGCGGAAACCTCTGCGTTAGCAGCTCTGTTAGCACTCTGTTCGGCCTTCCATGGCAGGAGAGAACAAGCCGGAAGAGGTACTGGGAATGTGGGGTTTTCCTCAAAAGAAATATGAGGGTCGGAGTGATAGCACAACCGGGAGGGCGTTTGCCTTGCACACGGCTGATTCAGGTTTGATCCCTGGCACCCCATAGGGTCCCCTGAGCACCGCCAGGAGTAATTCCTGAGTGCAGAGCCAGGAGTAACCCCTGAGCATCTCGGGGTATGACCCCCCCAAAAAAAAAACAAAAAAAAAAATCAAAGGAAACATGGAACTGGGACACACACGGGCTGTCCCTTGGTGACATGCTCTGCCTTTCTGTCCTGTGCACACCCGTCCTCAACATTCTACTCTCCAAGGGGAGATCCCTGCTGTTCTCCACACTGTGTGAGGACTCAGTGAGTTCCATCTCCAGACGCCGGAGCCCAGACCTCCCCGTGAGGCTCCCGGGCAGAGGGCACGACTTTCAGTGGAAGGATGAAGCCCCTGCGGGGGTGCCCCAACACCCTACACCGGACACTCCACGGAACCTCCGCAGGCCCTACCAGGCAGTCCTCCCTCCGGTGCTCACTGACAGCGCACAGGTCTACTCGCAGCGTCTTCTGCTGCAAGGCCGCCTGGGAGATGGCCACGCGGAACACGTCGTTGAAGGCGATGCACTCGGTGGCCGGGTGGACCTTGGTCCGAAACAGGCAGCTGATGTCCACGGAGGAGGGCAGGAGAGCGACCCGAAAATATCTGCAAAGGACACGCGGGAGACGCGTTCACAGGGACTTCCGGCCTCCCGGACCGCTGGCCACTTGCCCCAGGAGAGGGATGAGAAGCGCATCGTCCAGCTGACCCTGGGCTGTGTCCTGGATTGGGGCTGGCCTGGGCTCAGCAGCTGCTCAGGAGAGACAGCCCTGACCCTGCCCAAGAAGCCATACCCCTGAGCTTGAGGGCAGATGCTGCCTTAGACTGGGTCTTTCCTGGTAACGTCCAGGGTCCCAGCAGCCTTGGGGTGTACATGGGCTTCTGGGACTTCTCTTGCTGTTCTGGCTCGGGGTATGACCCCCCCCCAAAAAAAAAACAAAAAAAAATCAAAGGAAACATGGAACTGGGACACACACGGGCTGTCCCTTGGTGACATGCTCTGCCTTTTTCTGTCCTGTGCACACCCGTCCTCAACATTCTACTCTCCAAGGGGAGATCCCTCGCCTAGTTAATTTCTTTCCCCCTCAGATTTGGGGCAATACCCCAGAGGCTATTCCGGGTTCAGCTCTTGGGGCGACTCTGGCAACATCAGAAGAACCATGAGGTGCCAGGGGGCTCTGACCTGGGTCCCCCGCACCCAGACCCCATGCTACTCCTGATCGTCACGATCCGTCAGTGCCAGAGCTCAAACCCCACACACAGGACGTCTCCTTCCCTCCCAGACCCACTTACACTTTGGAAGTATGAGGTACCAGGAAGGCATGGAGATTCCGGAGCTGCGTGATGATCACCAGGAAGCTCGCCCTTTTGCCATCGTATCTGTGGGGAGAGAAGCCACCACCCGTGGGGTCGGGAGAGCCACCCCCACCCTGCCATCCCCAGCTCCACAGCGCAACCCCATTGGGGCCGGCCACCCGGGGGCCCAACCTTTACCTGAGTCCGATCTGCACCTGCGCCGTCTCCGGGCCGGGGTTGTCGTCCTCGCCGAATGGGGTGTCTTCCACTTCGCTTGGCCTAGGGGCAGGGAAGGGGAGCTGTGCTTCAATTTATCCACAGGGGCTTGGTGGTCGTGGTCTCTGCTCGTTACCATGATGAGGACTGCAAAGCCCAACTCCATGGCAGCCCAGCTGAGAACTGTGCTCTGAGCCTTGGGTCCCAGAACGTGCTCCGCAACTGGCCCCTTTTCTCAAAAGCGACCACCTGGCATCTCGCTGCCCCAGAAATCCACCTTCATGATTTGATTTTCGTTCCTGTGCACGGTATCATACAAGAGGCATTGAACAGCCTCAAGGAGGCTGTGCCCACACCAGAATCTCCTTCTTTGAATGAATGGAAAAGTGTCCCCGGGTCTGGAGTGATAGCACAGCGGGCAGAGCGTTTGCCTTGCACGCGGCTGACCCGGGTTCGATTTCCAGCATCCCATATGGTCCCCCGAGCACTGCCAGGAGTGATTCCTGAGTGCAGAGCCAGGAGTAACCCCTGAGCATCGCCGGGTGTGACCCAAAAAGAAAAAAAAAGTGTTCCCGACGGCACTGGAGGCTACAGCGTCCACCCCGGGATACCCCAGCACCTTCTGGGGGAAGTTGACAAGGCCTCTGGGAACCCCCCCCCCCCGGAACCCTACACTTCCCTGGACAGATCCCGGGACTGCGACTGGAAGGGAAACCGACAAAAGCATTGTGGGGCTCAACGTCCCCCAGGACCTCCTGGGATCTTTCTGTTTTGGGGAGAGAGTCACACCTGGTCATACTCGGGGTTGCTTCCTTGGGCAGCACACAGAGGATCACACCCGGCTTCTCAAGGGCAGGGCCTGCATTTGGGCCCACTGAGCCTCCCGTGCAGCCCTAGATGTGTTTTTTTTTTTTTAATTTCTTCTTCCCGGTGTGAGAACGGAAAGCTGCTGAGTCACAGGGTGGGGGAATGGCCACACCTGCCCTCCCCGGGCAGTTGACAGCCACACCTGCCCTCCCCAGGCAGCTGATGGCCACACCTGTCATCCCTGGGCAGCTGATGACCACACCTACCCTCCCCGGGCAGCTGACAGCCACACCAGCCCTCCCTGGGAAGCTAATGGCCACACCTGTCATCCATGGGCAGCTGACGGCCACACCTGCCCTCCCCGGGAAGCTAATGGCCACACCTGTCATCCATGGGCAGCTGACGGCCACACCTGTCCTCCCCAGGCAGCTGACAGCCACACCTGCCCTCCCCAAGCAGCTGACGGCCACACCTGTCATCCCTGGGCAGCTGATGACCACACCTACCCTCCCCAGGCAGCTGACGGCCACACCAGCCCTCCCTAGGCAGCTGACGGCCAGGCAGCTGACGGTTGCACCTGCCCTCCCCAGACAGCTGGACAAGCTCTGCCGGCCACCCATGCCTCCTGTCCCGTGTCCTTACTGTTTCACGAAAGCCTCGTAGACACCGCTGTCCCCGGCCACGGACTCGTCGGACACGGCGGCAGACACGCAGGAGGCCTTCTCCCCGAGCAAGTGGGCCGCCCTCCGCTTGGGCAAGGATCTCTCCACCTCTGAGGGAGGGAAGGGGAGAGCGTTCACGGGGGTTTCTCCTCCGCACGGGTCAGATCACACAACGCGCTTGGAGGGGAGTCGGCACAAAGCCAGGGAAATTTCCATCCAAGAAGGGATCCCCAGATTCCCACCAAGCAGATGGCAGGGATCTCCAGCCTGATGGCAGGGGAAGAACTGGGTTTCTCTGGTGCTGAGACCGCTGAAGGAGATGGATAAGTGATCTGCATCCCCATGGGCTGCCTTTTTTTCTTTCTGGATCATTCTCCCCAGGGCTCTAAGTAAATCTAGACATGCTTATATTCTCTTATATACATTCTGCGTCCCTCTCAGAGAGCCCGGCAAGCTACCAAGAATATCCCGCCTGCACAGCAGAGCCTGGCAAGCTCCCTGTGGCGTATTCGATATTCCAAAAATAATAATAATGGGTCTCATTCCTCTGACCCTGAAAGAGCCTCCAATAAGGCACCATTAGGAAGAACGAGTAAGGAGAGGCTGCTACAATCTCAGGGCTGGGACGAATGGAGATGTTACTGGCGCTCACTCGAACAAATCGATGAACAATGGGATGACAGTGATACAGTGGTAGTCACACACGGTGATGCTCTGGGGTTCCTCCTAGCTCTTGCACTCGGGAATCACTCCTGGTGGTGCTCAGGGGACCATATGGGATGCTGGGGATTGAACCCAGGGGCTGCGTGCAAGGCAAATGCCCTCCTCACTGTGCTATCACTCCAGCCCCCTCAGGCTACCTCTTAATGGCTCTTTTAATACCATAAAAAGAAAATAAGAGTGACTCCCGGGAGAAAGCAGCAAGTTGGAGATCTCTCCGGACCCCCATACCGAGCCAATTCCACTGGGGCACCTCAGATGGAGGGGATGTGCCCACTCCAGATGAAACTCCGGCAGCCACAAGCTTCCAGAAGCAAAACCCAGGTACGCGGGTTTAAGGACTAAGACTCGAGGCTACATGGTGGCAACAGAAATGGGCCCATCCCTTCCTATCTCCCCACCCACTTGGGGTCCCAGCTGTCACACCCACGATCTGCCTCTGAGCACCATCTCGGCGCATCGATGGCCTTGATCCAGAGACTCCAAAATGAATCTCAAAATGGATTAAGATGTCTCTGGACCCCAACCATTTACAGTTTTAGAATTTCAGAAGTGCGCGGCCACTTTTGTGGCCACTGTCCTCCCGTTGTTCATCAATTTGCTTGAGCAGGCCCAGTAACGTCTCCATTTTGTTGTTACTGTGTTTGGCATATTGAATACGTCATGGGGAGCTTGCCAGGCTTTGCCGTGCAGGCAAGATACTCTGGGTAGCTTGACGGTCTTTCCGAGAGGGGCGGAGGAATGGAACCCGGCTCAGCCGGGCTGGCTGCGCGCAAGGCAAACGCCATACTACACGACCTCACATATTCAATAATAAGCAATAGAGAATGAATTATCTAGCATCTGCCCCTGGCAGGCAGGCTTGAATGGTGGTGGGAAAATTCAACCAACCATAATGCCCAAAAGTAGAGAGGGAGCACGGGGGAAAATTGTCTGCCATGGAGGCAGGGGGAGGGTAGGAAGGGGGGGTATTCTGGGACACTGGTGATGTGCATTGGTGGAGGGATGGGTGTTTGATCATTATATGACTAAAACTTAAACATGAAAAGCTTTGTAACTCTTGGTGATTTACTTGTGATTTACTTGGTGTTTTACTTGGTGATTTACTCTTGGTGATTCAATTAAAAAAAAAAAGAAAGAAAATAGAGACAACTTGGGGTGCGTGATATTGAGAGTGAGCATCCACTGGGCCTTCTGTCACTTTCACATGACAGCGTCGTGTGGCCAGGAGAATGTGTGCATGTGAAGTCTCGTTTTCTAAAATAAGCCACAAGTCGCCGAGTTCTTGCACCCCAGCCCTCCATGGAGAGAGGCCCCAGGACTGTATCTGTCTTTCCTCCCCCTCCTGAGCTGTGACTTTACATCTTGTGAAGATCTTTAAGTGGGTTGCAGGGCTGACTGCCCCTCCCTGCTTCTCCCCCCCTCAGCTGGGCAGCTCCTGGATGATGACGCGCCCACTCTCCAGGCCCTCTGTGCACGGTGAAGGTGCCGACACGGTTTGAGGACTCCGGGAATAACCTCAACTACAGAGACGCACCACGGAAGGGCCTGGCAGTTGGGCTGACCCGGTTTCTATCACCCAGCAGGGCTGGCTGCACCGAGATGCTGGGATGGAAGGAAAGAAGAAACAAGTCGTGTGACTGTGGGCTGGAGGATGTACAGAAGATACAGCGCTTGCCTGGCACGCAGCAGACCCAGATTCCATCCTGGGCACCAAATAGGGTTTCTGGAGATCTCACTGGGAGACAGCTTGGTCCTGCTCTCCAGCAGATCCGGCAACAGAGATGGGAGGAGATTTATCTCTCCGGTCCAACAGACGTGGTCACACTTCAGTGCATGCTACTTGCCAGCAAGCTCTTGGGCATAATGTATTTTGCCACATAAACGCTGTGGGCACTGGCGTTCTCTGAGACTGGTTGGTACTCTCGCATTGTGTGATTGTCACATGGCGCAATTCTGCTCCTCAGGCTGCTTAAACATTAGGCAGAGCAAGGAGCGATAGTCCAGTGGGAAGGGTGTCTGCCTTGCATGCAGTCGACCCAGGTTCAATCCCCGGCATCGCAGAGGGCCCCCCCCAAAAAAGGGGAAAGAAAACCCAAAGTAGCCAGAACAGCACTGCCCCTGGAGTTCTCAGCTCACATGCATGGCTGGCCTGTGTCAAGGCTGACCTAACGGTCTATTCACTCAACCCAACAGGGGAATGAGCCACGTGAGACTCACACCAGGTGTACAGCTAGCTCTGCTCATGTCTGGGAGTTTCTGAGATTGCAACATGAACAAAACAAACAACTTCTTTGAGAAAATGAGAAGCAATAGCCACTGCCGGTGGCCTAACCTCTCTCCTGCAGCCGCTGAATGTCTGTGAACCCTCAAGACGACTGTTCGCTGCATTTCTGTAATGAGTGGATGACGAGAGGGTGACTGCCAAGGGACGGTGGCCAGGAATGGTGGCTGCTCAACCACAGCACTGTCATGCATGGGGATAACGAAAACTTGGGACTTTTGACCACATGAGACGGTCTTTAGAAGCTCCACAGAGATGAGAGTTGATAGCACTGGGAGGGTGTGAAGGCGATGCGCTGTGGAAGAGCGATGAATGTGTCTCACTGAGGGGTGATGTGAATGAGTCTCTATGAGAGGCGAGGTGAATGCGTCTCACTGAGGGATGAGGTGAATGAGTCTTTATGAGGGGCGAGGGGAATGTGTTTCTCTGAAGGATGAGGTGAATGTTTATCTGAGGGTGAGGTGAATGGCATCTCTCAGGGGTGAGGTGAATGTGTTTCTCTGAAGGTGAGGTGAATGAGTCTGAAGGGTGAGGTGAATGCATCTCACTGAGGGGTGAGGTGAGTCCATCTCCCTGAGTGTTCTCTGAGGGGCATAATGGACAGCCTCAGGTGATGAAACCAAAGAGACACTGGGATCTCAACGCCAAAAATCTCCTAAATGGGTACTCTGCAATGCAGAAGCACACCTTCTCAAGTGTAAGGTCTGGAGTATAAAGCACAAATAAGTAACAACTATTGTGTTTCGTATTCCACCCCCTCCTTCGAAAAAATATTTGCCAAGCCATCATGAAGGAACCGTGTGGATTAATTCTGTTTTCACCTACAGTTTAATAATGACTGATTTTCTGGGGCTTTCTCTTGGCCATACCCAGCGGACCATATCTGATGCCAGGGACTGAACCCAGGTCGCCCATGTGCAGGCTGCCAGGCCAACTGGCTCTTGCTGATCCTCCCTTCTTCTCTGTGGACATGTCAGCCAAAAGGAACATTCCAGATACACAAAGGTTCAAGTGGACAGTCCTCCACAGTAGCAGGAGAGATGTGCCAGTCAAGGTCCTCTGAACTCGCCTTTCGCAAATGCCCGTGGGCTGTGATGGGCATAGCCTTCTTTTCTGAGGCCCTTTCACCGGGTCATACTGGCCACCAGGGGGACCAGAGAGCATCTGGATGCCCTGTATGTGCCGGGCCCAGCAGGACATGGCCAATCCGACACGATCCGGACGTCTGGGAAGAGCGGGTGCAGGTGAGGCATGCTCAGGCTGCAGTCCTTCTCAGAGGCCATGGAAGGCCCTGAGGGTCACGGCTCTGTGAGGCCCAAGGTGTCCACAGTACCTCAGCCATTTTTCCATTTGAGGCTGAGAATTCCAAGAAATATGTCTTCTTGCTACGTTGGCGTCTTCTCAGTGGCCACATGCCAACCACCATCTCAGGAGTGTGGGTGGGCCTGAGGCTTCGGACTGGGAGAAGATTTGCCTCTCTCAGACCCCTAGACTGTCCCATCACTCTGCACTCAGTTCCCCAGGGCCATAAGTGACCACAGAAACGTGCTGTATCAGAGGAGCTAGAAACGCTTCTGAAGAGCCCGTCCTTGCTGGTGTGGGGGGGCGCATGGTCATCTGAGCAGGCGCCCAGGACAGACTCCACTCCCCGGAACACGAGTGTGGTCCCCAGACGGCAGGGGAACTGCAAGGTATCTGAGAGCCTGGCTGGGGGAAAGCCCCGAGCAGCGGGGAGATACTTCCCTGCTCCTCTGAGTTCTAGGGAGGAACGTGGCTGGAGGTGGGGGGGGGGGGCGCAGGAGCATGAGGGGGCCGCAGCCAGGAGGGGGCCGCGCAGGCACTGGTCGGCTGGGGCACTGACCGTCTTGGTTGGGATCTAAGCAGCGGTGGAACACACTCCCGGGCCGGGACCCACTGGTCGCGCCGTTATAAGGACACGGTGAGTTTGAATCCACAAAGGAAATGTGCCAATAAAAACCAAAACCAAAAACCCCAAACCAACCTCTTGAGCAAGGGCCAAGAGAGGGGACGGCTGGAAGGGACAGGACACACACTTTGTTTTGTGTCCGGCCCTGCAGTCCTCCTGGTGACCTCACAGCACACTCAGCACTGTTCAGAAACAGCCCCGGGCAGGCATGGCGGTAATAGTGCTCACCTTCCATGTGGCAACCCCCCACAAGCCCCACATGGTCCCCTGAGCCCCATCAGGAGTGAAGCTGAGTGCACAGCCAGGAGTGAGCCCTGAGTACTGGGAGTGGCCCCCAAACCCAGCAAACCCAAACTCGGGGCAAGGGGAACTGGTACCGAGTTCTGGCCACGCCTCTGGGTAGCCCTTCAGGGCCATGTGGCCCCCGAGCACTGCCGGGGGGGGTCCCCAGCTTCTCCGATTGGACCCTCTGGTCCAGTCGACTGAGAATCGGGGGGAGTGGCCCTGAGATTCCCTGAGTCTCCCCCAAACCAAGCCACCTGTCAAAGAAAGGCAAAGCGAAGGTGCCGAGGGATGGGGGTGCCTGAGCGTCTCTGCAGGACAAGGAGCCACCCACCAAGGCCAGCGAGACTCACCTGCGGCCCTTCCGTCCAGCTCCTTCTCCTCCACGAGCGGCCGGGGCGTGCTCCCTGCGTCCGCGTCCAGCAGCAGCTGGCCGTCGGCCAGGCCCAGGTCGGCCAAGCGGCGACTCAACTCACAGTCTTCGAAGTCGGTGGGGAATGGGAGGAGGGCGGCGTCGGGGGAGGCCAGCGGGCAGGCGCCATCGGGGACCAGGGGCGAGCCGGGCGGGGACAGGGAGGACAGGGAGGAGCGGGAGGACAGCGAGGTCACCGATGTGGGGGCCTCGGCCAGCGATGGCGGCGGCGGGAGGCCAGGGCCTGCGGCGGTCACCCCGCCGCCGGGCCCACTCGGTCCAGGGGGGCACTTGACCACCTCGTTCTCCAGGATGGTGGTGATGGGACCCGCGGGCGCGTAGCCACCCTTGTCCTGCAGCAGGAAGTCCAGCTTGTACTGGTAGTCGCCGTCCAGCTGCTCGCCCGCCCCACCGTAGTACAGCTCGCCCGAGCTGAGGGAGTTGAGGGAGCCGCGGCTGGATGCCAGGGAGCCCAGGCTGCTGCCCGACGACACGGACAAGGTGCTGGCCGAGAGGCTGTGGGCAGGAGAGGCGGGTGAGACAGGCCCGTTGCCCTGGCAACCCTCCCCCCCCCCCCCCCGCGAACACTCCCCCAGAACCGTGGGGCTGTGGCAACCCACTCCCCCTCCCGCTGTTCACGCGGCCCCCACCGATGGCAAACCCTGTTTCTCTCTTGGGGGCTTGGAGCCCCACCCGACGATGCCCAGGGGTCACTTTTGGCTGGCCTTGGAGGACCATATAGGGTACAGGAGATAGAACTTGAGTCTCGGCCAGCGCCTTCACCCCTGCACTATCTTTCTGGCTCTTGTTTCTTTTTCTTTTTTTCTTTCCTTTCTTTCTTTTGCTTTTTGGGTCACACCTGGCGATATACAAGGGTTCCTCCTGGCTCTGCACTCAGGGATTACTCCTAGTGGTGCTCGGAGGACCATGTGGGATGCTGGGAATCGAACCTGGGTCAGCCGTGTGCAGGGCAAATGACCTCCCTGCTTTGCTATCGCTCCAGCCCCAGCCTTGTTGCTTTTCATATTTTTTTCCATTTTGCAAGTGCCAGGGTGGAACCCAGGTTTTCGGGGTGCAAGGAAGGACTCACCCCTGAATCACACCCCAAGGCCCTCTAAATCCTCCATGAAGAGCAGTTGATCGGGAGCTGCTTGGTCAGGAGCTGCTTGCCACCAGTGGGCTCTGGGTTTGATCCCTGGCCCAGCAAAGAGCTCGAGTAAGTGCTAGCGAGTCTCCTGCTATGACACGGCACTTGGCTTTACCCAAAACCCTCAGAGGGCAAAAACGGAAACCAAAGACCTATTGTTCTGGCAGCCTGCAGAGAGTCAGGAGCCAATTTGCAATAATAACAACAACAATAATAATAGTAACAACAACAACAACAACCCGGAAGTGGGTGAGGGGAAAGATCATGGGGCAAAGTGTTGACAGCTTAGAACAGGACAAACTTTCTATTAGAAATAGGGTAAAACTTTCTATTTGCAAGAGAAAGGGTAACTACAGGTAAAATGGCCCCTCTCCCTCACCTGCCCACTTCTCTACCTGAGGGGTCTTGAGGGGTCAGCAAGTAGATATTTCAAGGCAAATCTCCCCCACGTCCTCTTTATTAATTTTTGTAGTAGGGGACCACTCCCAGTCATGCTGGGCAAAAGGCATAAGGAGCGGGGATCAAACTCAGGCCCCAGCATGCCAGCGTATGCCCCCCTGCCCCCAGCTATGCCCCTTCCACTTCCTGATTATGTGCTGAGTATGGGAGAGTGCGCAGAGATCCAGCAGTGCTCAGGGAACCACATGTGGTGCCAGGATCAAACCTGGACTCCTGTTCTCTCTCTCTCTCTCTCTCTCTCTCTCTCTCTCTCTCTCTCTCTCTCCCCCCCCCTCCCCCCCACCCCGCCCCCACCTCGCCCTTGACTTTTTTTGCTTTGGACATGAAGGGATAAACTGGGAAATGTGTTCTAAGAGTGATGCTGTATTTCCCTCCCATAATCTATTTAAACTTATTTCCAATGATGATTCTTCGGGGTTTGTGAAAACAAAACAACAAACCAGCAAACCACTCTGCAGCTGTACACAGTGGGCGTTTGGAGTTTGGAGTACTATCCTTTTTGCTCGAAATAGAGGAAAATAAGGATAAAACAATCAAACACGCCCACTGCAGTAAAGGAAGATGTCGCCCTGAAAAACCGGGGAGACGAACCTTTTAAGTTGCGAATGCAAATAAGTAGTTAATTTAGTCGTTTCTTCAAGTTTCTGTAACAGCTCTTTCCTCCGCTCGTCCAATTTCAATCTAGAAAAAAAAACAACAAAAAAACAGGAAAGTGAATTTATTTTCAAGTGATTCTGACGAAGCATGTGAACAGAAGGGAAGGTTAAAAATAATATTCTCATTATATAAACATCGACTTCTACTGGAGGAGGCTCAGATAGACCGGAATGAGCCACACCAGAATGACCCTGGCACCCCACCCCACCCCCAGGAGGGGCCCAGCGAGTCCCCGAGCTGCAGGCAGGCAGGTGGCATGACCTAGGCCAGGTCACCAACAACATGGAGAGTCTTGAAAGTTCTGGGCTGGGGAGAGGGCTCAAAGGGCTGGAGCACATATCTGAAGGTGCAGTACCCTGGGTTAGGTCCCTGGCACCACAGGACCTCCTGAGCACTGCCAGGGGAGCCCCAGTAGCAACCAGAACTGCTGGGGAGGAGGGAGGGAGGGAGGGAGGGAGGGAGAGAAGGGAAAGGAACGAGGGAGGGAAGAGAAGAAGGGAGGGAGGAAGAGGAAAGAGAGGGAGGGATGAAGGAAGAAGGGAAAAGGAAAGAAGTAAAGAAAGGGGAGAAGGAAGGAGGGAAGGGAGGGAGAAAAGAAGGGAGGGAGAGAGGGAGGAAGGGAGGGAGGAGAAAAGGAGTAAGGGAGAAGGGGAAGAAGGAAGGGAGTGAGGAAGGAAGGGAGGAGGAAAGAAGGAAGGCAAGAAGAAGGGAGGGAAGGAGGGAAGGAAATAGGGAGGGAGGAAGGAGGAAGGGAAGGAGGAGGAAGGAAGGAAAGAAGGAAGGAAGGAAGGAGGAAGGAAGGAAGGAAAGAAGGAGGGAAGGAGGGAGGAAGGAAGGAGGGAGAGAGGGAGGGAGGGAGGGAGGGAGGGGAAGGAGGAGAGAAAGTGCCCAGTTGCTTTAATCATCATTTCCTGCCTCTTCTCCTTCCTCATCTGTAAAGTGGCGAGACGACCCCATCTGGGACTCTCAGCCAGCCAGACCTTAGCTGTCCTGGGCCCCAGCAGGCCTGGGAAGGTGGTGGTGGCGGTGGTGGTATGTGTGTGTTTGTGTGTGTGTGTGTGTGTGTATACAAAGGACCCAGAACTGTGTGTGTGTGTGTGTGTGTGTGTGTGTGTGTGTGTGTACAAAGGACCCAGAACTGTCCCCGAGGACCGGGCTCTCTGAACATGGAGGTGGTGGAGGGGGGTGGGGATCTGGGCTTTATTTCTGGGCTCCATCCCTTCAGGACCCCCAAGACTTCATTCTGTGTTCAAAGGCAGAAGGGATTCGTGTTTGTCTGATGTGTCAAAGGGCGACAGATTGTGAATCCACAGCCGAGTCTTCTGGAAAGAAAGGCCCTCCCTCCTTTTCAATTCCTTAAACATTAACGAGTCTCATAAGGACGAAGGCTCTGGTCTCTGCCCCGGGACTCTTCCTAGCTCCGTGCCGGGTGACGCCTGGCGGTGCCAGGGAAGGAACCAGGCGTGGTCACATGCTGTCCCGGCCCCGTGTCCTGGCTCTGAGTGCACATCCCTCACGTACTGGCCACGGCCAGTGGTCACTCTCTGCACTGGGCCTCGGCCCACTGGGCACAGAGATGCCCCCAAGGCTCACGGGCAGCCCCCAGACTCTCACCCCCAGAGGGTGGCCATCCTGTGCGGGGCGGGGAGGCAGGACGGGGGAGTGGGGCGGGCACTGACCTCTCAGCCAGGGCTCGGCTCGGGGCGCCCCTGACCGCCAGCAGCTCCTGCTCCAGCCGCTGCCGCTCGGCCTCCAGCTGGTCCAGCTCGTCCCGGGAGCGCGTCTGCGGGCTGACGAACTGCAGCTCCTTCAGCAGCTCCTCCTTCTCGTGCAGCAGCATCAGCTTCTCCTTCTCCACGTCCAGCGCCCCCGGCCAGGCCTCACTGTCCAGCTTCGACAGCTCGATCTTCAGGTTGGCCATGCTGCAAGGGGGCGGGGGGGACGGCGTCAGCGCGGGGCACAGGGGTCCCCCGGGGCTCCCGAAGACACCCACGTGGGCAGCGAGCTCCGGGCATCTCCGGCCCAGGAGCTCTGCCCTGCTCACCTTCCCGTCCCCTCGAAACCTCCTACAGTGCCGAAGGGGAGACCAGCCCAACTCTAACCTGGGGACCCCCCAGCTCTAATGCGGGGTCTCACGCCCGTCCCGGGACGCCCTTGGATCTCACACTGCCTTCCCTCCCCTGGGGTCCTTCCCCACCATGCCCACCGCACCGAGGAGCCAGGGAACAGGGAGTCCCCACCACCACCACCCGCAGCCCAGACGCCAAAGAAGTTAGCAGTTTCCCACCCCAGTGTCGGGTTCACTTGTGGTTCAGTGAAACACCCAAGTGCCACCACCAGGCGGTGCCGGCGAGACCCGGGGCCGTGGGATTCCCCGCCCCACCCCCACCAGGTCTGTGCTCCCAGCTGGCGCTGGCATCATCAGCTGTTCTTTAGCGATAACCACAAAGCCGACGCAACCTCCTGGAAAATTAATCATCCGACTGCTACATAAGCATGCTATTATTAGCTTCATTAGGCACACACAACAGAGGCGGGGAGGAAGGCAGAGCGTCTTCGAGGAACGCAGAGGACAGCCCACGGGGGGCTGCGGCAAGACCCCGAACGGAGGAGACAGAGCACGAGGCAAGCAGATGTGGACGAGCCCAGGGCCAGCGTCCATCTGGGTGTGGCTGAATTCGCTGAGCGAGCAGACAGCAAGTACGAGGCGGGAGGGAAAAGGCAGACCCGGCGATGACACGTGGCGGCGACAACGACACGGAGAGAGCTTCTGCGTTATTTGGTTTGGCAGATCTCGGGAAATAAACACGCAGGTCTGGGGCCGGGGGTGGGGGTGGGGGATGGGGGAGGCTCAGTGGGCCGGAGAGCACGTTTCGCTTGCAGGAGGCCTGGGTTCGACTCCTGGCGGGGTGGTGGTGGTGGGTCCCCCTGAACATACCCCTGGGCGCAACCCCCAAGCACCGCTGGGCGTGACCCAGAAATAAGCAGAAAGTCAAGACCAAAAAAAAAAAAAAAGAAAGGAGAGGGAAAAATGACACGTGTGTTTCCTGGAACACGTAGGAAGGGAAACGCCACGTGAGCTGAAGTGACGGTGAGCTGAAGTCAGGGGCTGGAGCACAGCTCTAACCCAAGTGGGCAAAACCCCGCCTGGGCCGGGCCAGGCTCCCGGCCACTTCCCTCTTCGACGGCTACCCACGAATCCTGGCTTTGGTTCCCAGCCGAACCGGGCAGGGCTGCCCCTCCAAGAGCCACAGGGCTGCGGGCGGCCCTCAGTGCCCACCATGGAAGCTGGTGTGCCCACCACGGAAGCTGGTCTCTCGTCAAAATGTACCCAAGTCGCCCCAACCGGAGAAATGTGCCCTGGGCCTGGGCGGGACTCACACGCAGGAGAAACAGCCAGGAAAGATCTCAGCTGCTGGTTCAAGCCCCGAGGTTAGTGATTCGTGGGACAGAGCTCGGGGATCCTTCGGCAAGTCAGAGACCCAGGCGGCAGTTCCAGTTAGAGGCAAATACAGAAGCCAATTTTGTATTCTGGCAGACCCAGGAATTGCTGCAGGAAAGCGGACAACCCCAACGGGCTCTGGCCAGTTCCTTTCAACTTCCCTCCCCCGTGCTGAGGGCTGTGCATCCTCGTCCATCTGTCTATCTGATAACGTGTCCTGCGGCAGGACCCAGACATTAAGTGGGGAGGCTCACAGCTGTGAGCGTGCCGGGGCCACCGATAGTTTTTCCCCAACGTCTTCCGAAATAACCCATCGGTAGCACCCTGAGCCCCCTGAAAGTAAGATGACAGACTCAAACGTAGCAGCTTGACTCTCTCCCCCAGAGCCAGCCAGACGTCCCCAGGATGGGAACTCATCGCACCGACAATATGACAGGGAAGCCGGATGCCATTCCCAAGCAGAGCTGCAAGGTAAGAAGAAGCCAGCACAGGACCACGGTCTTACGCCACGCACAGACACAAACTCTGAAGGGACTCAAGGCCTGAAATCATAAAGGCCCGAGAAGAAAACGTGGAAACGGGACAATGACCACAACGAACATATGATACATGTTCTGCTCCCGGCATAAAAGCTGGAGGGGTAGAAGCCAATCAACCTCGAGGAACAAAAACTTAATGCAGAAGACTTAACTTGCAACAACAGCTTGGGAAAACATTATCAAAGACTTAACGTCCCCATAGTGAGATGCAACAATTGTCGCTAATTTTCTTCTACGGAAATAACTTTTATTATTCTGTTAGTCATTTAGTGGTAGCAGCAATACAAAATAAATTAGTGTGGCCCTGCTACAAGAGCAGGCTGGTGGTTGGGAAAATAGAGAAAATGGTGGAGAAAAAATGACAACGGTGATGGGATTGGTGTTGAATATTGAATGCCTGTAACAAATCATTATGAACGACTTGATAAACCATGGGCTTAAATACAGTGGGGAAAAAAATAAGCTGGAGAAACCTAAGTATGAAATTGCATGTGTATGTAAAAGTGGACTTGAGAGCAGGAATCTTATGGAAGGAACTTTAAATACAGTCATAGGCCTAAAAAAAAAAAAAAGCTGGAGGGTTCCTGATTCAGACCCCAAAAGCAGCCAGTGAGGCTACAGCAAACAGGAACACTTCTGCAGAGGACAAAAAAAAAAACACAAAACAAAACAAAACAAAACAAAACACCCCACAAAATCCACCTAATGACAAGGCATCCTATTGAAAAAAAAAAGAGAAAACTTTTGCAAATTCTGTAGCAAAATCCCAAATATTTTAATTAAAAACTGGACAAAAGGGGTTGGAGCGATGGTACAGTGTGTAGGATGTTTGCCTTGCATATGGCCGACCGGATTCGATTCCCAGCATCCCATATGGTCCCCCAAGCACTGTCAGGAGTAATTCCTGAATGCATGAGCCAGGAGTAACCCCTGTGCATTTCTGGGTGTGACCCAAAAAGAAAAAAATTGAAAATAAAAACTGGACAAAAGACAGGGCCAGAGCGACAATACAGCAGGGAGGGCTCTTGCCTTGCACACAGCTGACCCGGGTTTGAGCCCCGGCACCCCCTGAGCACTGCCAGGTAGGATCCCTGAGCAGAGAGCCAGGAGTCGGCCTGAGCATTGCTGGCTGTGGCCCAGAACCAAAGCCAAACCCCAACAGAAATACTGGGCGAAAGACCCACAGAGGAACTTTCCCAGAAAAGGTGTACAAAGGCTCAGAGGGATGTGAACAACCGTCACATCGTATGGGTGGCAGGGACACCTGTGTCAGACCACGGGGCTATAAGCCACCTCTGGCTGGTGTCAGATAATCTCTTCATCGGCCACCATCCCGATCGCATGTCCTTCTCTCCCAGAAGGGAGCATAACATGTCGCTCACCATAACCATGCTGCTGGACCCCGCGCCAGGCTGTTTCATTCGGGTCACCCCAGAGGGGGGTGGGTGAGAGCCCTCCCCTCCCCGCTCAAGGGACCCAGCCCCAGCAGCCGAAAACTCCAGAACTCAGGGGGCCGCCGTGCTAATGGCCGCTCTCCACACGCTCAGGCAGAGCCTCACCCATGAGTGAACCTATTCGTAGACTGCGCAATGATACTTCAAACAACACACCCTACCCAGACTCCAAGATTACTGAATCACCTGGATAGGGTTCAAAGTAGGAGGCAACCAACCTTAGAGGAAAATATACATTTTTTAACAGATATGCATAAGCATATGTATATATATATATAGTACTGTATATATATATATATATATATAGCACTGTAGTACTGTCCTCCCATTGTTCATCAATTTGCTCAAGCAGGCACCAGTAACATATCCCTTGTGAGACTTGTTGTTACTGCTTTTTGGCATATCAAATACGCCACGGGGAGTTTGCCAGGCTCTGCCATGTGGCGGGATACTCTAGGTAGCTTGCAGGGCTCTCCAAGAGGGACAGAGGAATCGAAACTGCATCGCCCGCGCGCAAGGCAAACGCCCTACCCGCTGTGCTCTCGCCCCAGTTTATATATATGTATATATATATGTGTGTGTGTGTGTGTGTGTGTGTATATGTATGTATGTATATATATATATATATATATATATATATATATATATATATAAAACACACAAGGCTCAACCTTTAACAACATGTTAGTGATCTCTTATAGAAGGGCTTAATGACCCCTGGGTGAAATACAACCATCTCCACACTCTTTCCTCTAAGGATACCTTTTGTAGCATTTTCAGTAGCTTTTCAGAACAAACGATACAAAATATATTATTTCTGTTCTGCTTTGGGGCAGGGATTGGGGTTCGGGATGGAAACATCCAAAATATGGTGGTGGGAAGGTGTCATGGTGGTGGGATGGGTGTCTGAATATTAAATGTAATATAAGTATTGTGAACTACTTAATAAAATTTAAAAAATAAAAAAAAAAGAGAAAAAAAGGACCACCCGGCTCTCACTTTACCTTCGAAGAGGGGGTGGGGCTGGAGCAATGGCACAGCAGGTAAGGCTTTGCCTTGCATGCGGCCAACCCAGGTTCGATTCCCAGCATCCCATATGGTCCCCCGAGCACCGCCAGGAATAACTCCTTGAGTGCAGACCCAGGAGTAACCCCTGAGCATCGCCGGGTGTGACCCCCCCAAAAAAAAAAGAAAAAAAGAAAAAAGAAAAGAAAGAGAGAAGGGGGAGTGCCCATGAGGGGAATGAGACTGGGCAGAGGCGCCTCGTCCAGAGAGGACTCTGCAGTCACACAGGGCCAGTGGGCTGAGCTCTGGCCTGGCTCCAGGTGGGGTGCCAGGCACAGCCCCCCGAGAGTCGCCAGCGGTTCCCCCCAGGTGCAGTCAGAAGCGGCTGCCTGGGCTGGCCCCAAACCAGGATAAAACAAGCAAGACCCAGAAGCATATTGGCAGGCTCTGGCCGTCCCGCTGCAGGAAGTGTCCCGAGGAAATGGACCCGCTCCCTCCCGACGGGGTCCATGGCTTGCACAACTTGCTGGGGGCCATGGGCCAGGCAGCAGAGGCCACTGCTAATTTCTCCATCAACACCTGCCCAAAGGTGGGGTCCTGGCCGTGTCCACACCAGGCACACATCAGCACCCAAAGGCACGAGCCCAAGAACAGAGGCTGTTGCTCACGACACAGCATCCCTGTGGCCAGCTACCGGCTGCTTTTCGAGACAAAGAATCGGCCCTTGAGTGTGCCACGGCCCAGAGGTATGGGGAGGCCTGCGATCCCCGACAGACAAAGACAAACACCACCTGGCCTCTCAACCGTGGGGCCTGAACCACGAAGGCAAGCCAAGTGCAAGGGACACAGAACCGACTGGGGTGTGTGTGTGTGTGCGCGCACACGCATATGCGTGTGTGTGTGTGTGTGTGTGTGTGTGTGTGTGTGTGTGTGTGGTAGGGCAGAAGGCAAGGGATTAGGCTGAAAGGCACAAAGCAAGGAAATCATGGCTGCTCGTGATCTATGCCAGGAAATAAAGACCCAGAACAACTCGAGATGGAGGTACCAGGGACCCAGCACGTGAGCCTGGATCCTGGACTGGGTTCACGTTCTGTGGTGAAGGACAGTTGGAACAGCCGACGGGCTCTGATAAGGGCTGAGGGTTGGATACAGAATTACGGCGAACGGGGGTGTGCGTGTTGATAAGGGCTGTCGATTGGGATAACGGGCAGAGTTATTTCAAATGTCATGTCCTGGGTTGGGGGGAGGGAGGGGGAGAGAGAGATGAGAGAGAGAAAGAGAGAAAAGAGAGAGAGAAGAGAAGAGGAGAGGAGAGAAGAGGAGAGGAGAGAAGAAGGGAGAGAGAGAGAATGTGTGTGTGAGAAAGAGAGAGGAGAGGAGGAGGGAGAGAGGAGAGAGAGAATGTGTGTGTGAGAGAGGAAAAGAGAAGAGAAATGAGAGAAGAGGATAGAAAAGGAAAAAAGAGAAGGAAGGAGAGAGGGAAGAGAGAGAATATGTGTGTGTGAGAGAGCGAGAGCGAGAGCGAGCGAGCGAGAGAGAAAGACAGACAGACAGACAGAGGAGAGAGAGAGATGGGGTACCGCAGCGTTCCACAAAGTGGCCAGCAGGTGTCGCTGGAGGAGCAGAGATGAACCCGGCCCCTCCAGCACCCCTGGACCAGCTTCCCGTGGTTACCTCCTCTTGGCTTCCTCATACTGGAGACTCAGCCTGACCTTTTCGGCTAAATTCGATCTACTTCTCATTCCGATCTGGTGGAGGGGGAAACAAAAGAAGGGGGGGGAGGGAAGTCAATTAACTCAGCTAATGAACGGAGCACGCTGCTCTCTGCTTTCCTTTCTCAGGAAGCAGGAGTAATTGAAAAGCTGAAGAAGATGTCACCGAAATTGGGAACAGCCGCTTTAGAGGCACTTAAAGTCTCACTAGGGGCAAAATGTTCCTTTTTTTTTTTTTTTTAAATTCGAGCTTGTCTGTTGCCGAGAGTGCCTTTCACGTCATTTGCTCCGCGCGTTAAATTCAAGATGGAAAAAAGAATAAAAATGAAAAGCAGGTCAACGTTTCTGGGCTCTCAGAGTTTATGGAGGGTGTGCAGGTCAGTCGACTCATGAACTGGAACAAATTTCCTCCTTTCTGCGAGCTGAAATTTTCCATCATTCATCTTTGGGTGGCATAAAATACCAACAAAATAACTTGGAAAATTAATTGTTCCAATAGGTGAGTACCCCTGCCCTCCTTCAGTGCAACTTTTCTGGTGCCCCAAAGACTCCTAGGAGAGCAGTGAACGAGGAGCTTCCTGGAAAGTTGTCCGCCGAAGGGATCTCAACAGGGAGAGCAGTGCAAAATCCTGTGTAATGTTCAAGCCACACACAAAATCTAGGTATAAGCCACAAATCAAACATTTTCATAGAGTTAGCTGGGTCTGTGAAACACAGCTCTGTGTATTCACAGGGTCTTGGAGCTCTTTTAAGGACTGTTTTTATGTTTCTCATTAGCCTTAGTGTTTGTCTGCAAAGAATTACATTTCCAAGAAGAAAGACGTAGATTCTCAGTGTCTCCAGCCAGTCAACAGGGGTCTCTGAATAGCATGGAGGAGACCATTTGCACCAAATTATTTATTTATTTGTTTTTGCTTTTTTGGGTCACACCCAGCAATCACAGGGGTCACTCCGGGCTCTGCAATCAGGAATAACTCCTGGCGGTGCTCAGGGGACCATATGGGATGCTGGGAATCAAACCCGGGTCGGCTGCGTGCAAGGCAAACGCCCTACCCGCTGTGCTAGTGCTCCAGCCCTCCTTTATTCATTTTTCTGAAGTAAAATCATTTGACTGAGAAAACAGGAGAGCAAGGAGAGCGAGAGAGACAGAGGCGAGGAAAGCCCGTAAGTAAAAGGAGTGGCCCCTTCCAAACTGGGGGTGTGTGGGCTGTTCCCCGAGGCACCAAGACCCAGCGAGTCTGAACAGAACCCAGGGGCCCAGGGGCAGGGAAAGATAAGGCCGGGGGCTGCAGACTCCCGTAGGGAGGCACTCGCCATGCTGATGGGCCCGTCAGCTCCCCAGTCTTCGGAGTGAACTAACTTCTCTGAGGCCAGGACCCCAGGACCAACTTACATCTCCGGAAATGCAGGTCTGCGAGCCGGCGTCCAGGGTCTGCCTGGAGAGGGATAAGTGGGAGTTGACGGGGCTCGATCTCAGGTCTGGCTCCGACTGGCCGATGCTCTGTTCCGAATGGAAGCGTTCCTGCAGCTTGGCCAGGCTCTGTGTCGGGGGAACACGGGGTGTGCTCAGAAAGGTCAGCCCTGGAGCCACAGAGCTCCCTACCAAGGACGACACCCAGTCGCTGCCCCTCAGGAGGGCCTGTCGTGTGCAGGTCCTGAGGCGGGAGGTGGGGGGGCCGGGTAGGGGGCGGGCGGCCGCTGTGGGGGCTTTGCAGAGTGGGTGGTCCTGTCTTCTCACATCGAGAATGTTCCTACAAACAGCCTGCGAATGGCTGACCCCTGAAGAATGGGACTTTGACATTCTGTACGTGCACATTTCCTCCCCAACCCCCTCTTTCAGTTTTCAACCTTCCTGACAAAGAAGTCATCACTTACATAGCAACTGCTCATTTAATGAGGTAGAAATTGTGGAAACATGGATAACCTGTCTTATCCGGTTTTACTAGTTTGGTTTGGTTTTTTGGGCCACACCCGGGAGTGCTCAGGGCTTACTCCTGGCTCAGTGCTCAAGGGATCGTATGTGGTGTCAGGGCCAGTGGCGCACAAGGCAAGCGCTCTAACCACTGCACCATCTCCCCGGCCCTTCATAGGGGGCCTACAAGGCAATCTCACTAAAGAAAGAGCAAGAAAACCACTTTGGGCTTAGAAGGCTTCTCCAAGGATGCTGCTGCTTATCTGGAGGGGCCTAGGGGATGGCCCAGCTCATAATGGATCTTCACTATTTCTGCTGTTCATGATTTATTTTCTTCACCTCCCATTGATGGTAGCACTTGAGAGATTAAAGCCCCAGAAGTCACCGTGTCTGCCTGTCCCATTGCCTAGAGTGGGCAGAGGGACAAGATGGGCACAGAACACGACGACCTCCGCACCCTCCCTGCGCCACCCGCCCCTCCCCCAAGACGGTTATCCTCTCTTAGGATCTTTAGGAAAGTGAGTAGTTTTTTCCTATTTTTTTTCTTTGCTTTTTGGGTCACACCCAGCGATGCACAGAGGTTACTCCTGGCTTTGCACTCAGGAATTACTACTTGCAGTGCTCAGGGGACCATATGGGATGCTGGGTATTGAACCTGGGTCTGCCGCTGCCGCATGCAAGGCAAACGCCCTACCTGCTGTGCTATTGCTCTGGGCCTGGAAACTGAGTAGTTTTAAAGGTGATCTTCTCATTCAGACTGCCATGTGTCTCGATTCAAAATTCACACCATGTGACCGAGAACGCAATCGTGAATGACTTTGTAACTGTGTATTTCACAGTGATTCGATAAAAAATTAATTAATTAAAAAAATGCACAGGCAGAAAAAAAAAGCCCATATACACCAGGCTCCAGTACAGGCCTGTTTCATGCCGCCGTTCACCTTTTCCAGAGGAACTGTCGTGGGCATTTCAGGATTCCTTCAGGATTCCTTGACTCAACCATCAGATCCACACACGGCAAAGCCCCAACCGTCCAGGTCAAGTTCTGCAGATGCCGCGTGTGTGTTAAAGTCATACACCCCATGGCCTCGGCCTGTGTCCAGCACCTGAGCCATCTCCCAGGGCCCGGCCCGCACAGTCTCCAAAACAGACTAAATCCTCGCTCAGCTCCGAGCCTCGAGCACCGGGAATAGAAAGTACGGGATGGGGGAGGGGAGACAGGGATGACCGAGGACCACAGAGCTGGGAGGAGCCCCAGAGTGCCAGCGGGTGTGGCCCTGAAACCGGGAAAGAGGAAAAAGGGAAGAAAACCAAGGCAACTTCCCCCTGCAGCCATATCCCAAACACTCGACACGGATTGGATTTTTTCCTACGGAGGCTGAGAGCAGTTGGAGGGGCCATCACAGAGCTCTGACAGCGATACCCAGGACCCCCTGCTGGGTCAGCACCACCCAGACCCTCCCTGGGTTCCCACCAAGCCTCTGGAGGCTGTTGCATCCCCTCCTCCCACCCTGGGACTCCCGCTCTGCTTGCTGGTGGCCAGCGGCACCCTGGACGGGCCAGGGCTGGGGACGGAGCCTGGGCGGCCCTGGGTGTCTGGACTCCAGGTGGAGCTTCCCTGGGATCCAGGAGGGACGCGGAGCTCTGTCCTGCGCCCAGCCCGGCTCCGAGGCCACTAGTGGTAACCTTCCCTTGCTCCTCCCGGGGCTGGGGGGAGTCGGGAGTGTGGGGTGGAATGGCAGGACACACTCCGCCTCCTGGTGCGTCCCCCTACCTGCATCAGGTCCTGCTTCTCTTTCTCTCCTGAGCTGATGGCCTTGCGGATGGACTTCAGCTCGGCCAGGATGGCCTTCGCTTCGCTCAGCTCGTAGCCACTCTGGCCTCCAGACATCTTCTTGTCGATTCTGTTCAGAGAGGGGAAAGACAGACGGACAAACACAGTAAGAGCTGAGATGCCAGCGGGGGGCGAGCAGGCCCAGGGGGCACCTGCCCGGGCATGCACGCTGCCCTCCCTGCCGGCCACCGGCCACGGTCTCCCCTGCCCCACCCCATCCTGCCTCTCACCTGGTCCCCACTTCTAATCGGTCCAACCTTCCCCCTTGGTTTGGCTGTGTTTGGGGAGCCCTCCCGAGGGTGCACTCAGGCTGTGCTGGGAAACCCGGGGTGCTGGGGGTCGCACTCATTCAGGCCCCCTCCCCCACTTGCACCTGCTCACAGAACCATCTCTCAGGCCCATGTCTGCCTCACTTTTTGTTTTCCTGCCTGTTCTTTTTTTTTGGGGGGAGGGGGTTGGGTGGAAGTGCTCTCTGGCTCTGCATTCAGGGATCACTCCTGGCGGTGCCCGAGAGACACTATGGGATGGCAGGGATCGAACCCGGGCGGGCCACATGCCAGGCAAGAGCCCTCCACGCTGTCCTGTCGCTCCAGGCCCAGATCTGGAGACGGTTTCGGTGTGTGCTGGTGTCTCGGTTCCCTGCAGCCACCCTCTCAAGCGGGGCCAAGTCACAGCGACCCACACAAAGACCTCAGCAAGTCAAAGTGTGCCCGTTCACCCGGGTCAGCTGCCAGGGAGGGCAGGGAAAACCCAACCTGAACTCTCTACTCGACTCCAGACGAGAGAGAGAGAGAGAGAGAGAGAGAGAGAGAGAGAGAGAGAGAGAGAGAGACGGCGCAGAGGAAGAAAGCAGCAGAGGACGGCGGGGGGCGCTCCTGTCCGTCTCTTCCTGAGAGATGCTCTGCCAACACGCCCCACTGAGAGCCCCTTCCTTGGGCCCGAGGCACAGCCTCTGCATGTGGGAGCCTTGGGTTCAATCCCCCGAGCATGGCTGGGTGTGGCCTGTCCCCGGGGCCCGGTCCTTTCCCCTAAAAATGTCCCTTCCTAGTATGGGAATGTCCCCGGCCGGCCGGCTCTCTGGGTTGAGTCCCTCAGGCCCGAGCGGGAGGTTCTTTGTGCTCTGGAATGGAAACCGCTTCGTTCCCTTCAGGCCGACCGGCAAGGCCTCCGTGCAGAGAGCCGACTCGGGGCCTATCTATCCGCCGGGGGGTTCAAGGGATCAGAATCATCGAGGGAGCAAGCCTGAATCTCGGCAACAAATGCCTATTGTCCGCTCCTGGAATGTTATTGACAGATTCTTAAACATGCCTCAGATTCCTATAAAAAGGGCCCGCAAGCCAGCGGCCCGGGAACAATACAGCATTGTTCCGTCCGTGTAGCAGAAACAGCAAGTTGGGCTAACCTTTCCTCCCGGCCTGACGGCAGCCACCGCCTCACGTGCCCAGTCGGGGCCCCTGGGCATCTCTCGGCACCCTTGTGAGTGGCTTCCGGTGCAGAACACCCCCGGGCCCGGGCCCCAGCCCCAGCCCTGCCATTCTAGGTCGGCTGGGTCTGACGGGAGCTCTGTGGCCTTCGGGGGTCCCTGGGACCACCCAGGGGTCCTTATGCCGTTGGCCTGAGAGAAGCCTGTGCTGTGGCTATGCTTCAGCTCTGAGAATACTGTGGGGAGACCCCAAAGGACCATCCTGGTCACCCCGATGCGGGGAGCAGTGGTCATACATGTGCCTGGGAGCTCCAGCACGTTCTTAATCTGTTCCCACCCTTCCCACCTGCCACCATTTTTTGCCTGAGAAATTTTCACCACGACACCCCCTCTGCCAACGTACAGAGGTGTGTGAATGACATAATGTGCACACCAAACATTTTGGGTGGGTCACACCTGGCGATGCTCAGGGGTTACTCCTGGCTCTGCATTCAGGAATTATTCCTGGTGGTGCTCAGGGGACCATATGGGATGCTGGGAATCGAACCCGGGTTGGCTGTGTGCAAGGCAAATGCCCTACCCCGCTCTGCTACTGCTCCGGTCCCTGCATACCAAACATTTACTGATAATTAATCGCCAAGAAACTTATGGTGGATTTTTTGGAGGGCTGGAGAGACAGTATAGCAGGTAGGGGCGCTGGCCTCGCATGCCCCTGGCCCGGCTTCAATCCCCAGCACCCGAGTCCCCCTGAGCCTTGCCAGGAGTGACCCCTGAGTGCAGAGGCCAGGAGTAAAGCCTGAACGAGCTGTGGCCCCCAAACTGCTCACCTCCTAAATATATATATATATATATATCTCCAGATTTTTTACTGGTGTGTGTGCATGCGTGCGTGTGTGTGTGTGTGTGTGTGCAAATCTAGGCCACACCCTCCAGTGCTCGGGGATGCCTCCTGGCGGGGTTCAGGGACCTTACGAGGCACCTTCCCCGCTGTACTGTCTCTATGGACATAATCAGACTTTTACAATGTCTTGCGATTCCTCCACATTCAGCTATGCCACGGGATATGGCGAGGGAGCCAGGGTCCCAGGAGGCCAGGGTCTCCGGCTGGAGGGAAGGGTGCGGAGGGCCGGGGCACGTGCTTGGTAAGTAGAAGGCCCAGATTCCATGCTGGGGGTGGTCCCCCAAGCAGTGCGAGAGGGATCCCACCACTCCTCCACCTCAGGCTAAAGCCCCCCATAGGCGCCGCCAGGTGTGGTCCTGTCAAATCTGAACGCAAGTAGCAGCGGAACTACGACCAGGAGGCCCCAAGAGCAGAGCAAAGGGTCTGAGGGGCTGCAGCTCTGGGCACAGGGGCGCTGTGGGTAGCGGGGTGGCTAATCTGGGAGCCCCTCCAGGGCAGGGGCCGCAGAAGGGAGAGGAGTGCCCTGGAGGAAGCAGGACCCCCCTGCGCCCAGGAGCCTGGGAAATCCGGCGTCCCCTCCCGCCAACGGCCCCGGGTCTGGGGACCAAGAGACACAACTGCCTCCAAGGACGGGGAGTGGGGGTGCTTCACGACTTTCACAACTGGACCCCTGGGAAAGCAAAGGCACCACACCCTCTGTCCACAGCAACTTGCGTCTCTCTGCCTGGCCCAGCTAGAGGCCAGACCTGGGCCCATCAGACCAAGAGGGTGACAGGAAGGGCCGGAGGGGTGTGCGGAGGAGGACGAGGCATGCTGCATCCAGGGTGGCGGAGAGGGGTCTGGGGCTCTGCACCCACCAAGCTCTGGACGCAGACACGGCCCTCGGAGGAGGAGGTGACCCAGGTTCGAATCCCAGCAAATAGGAGTGACCCTGCGCCCCCCTCAGCACCTCTGAGTGTGGTCCAAACCCCCCAACATAGAAGCACAAGAACTCAATCTCGTTCCTCACATCGAGCTCGCTCCCGGTTTGTGCTGGTCAGCTTGTGTGTGGGGGAGGGGTGGGGGGCATGGGGGACACGGGACTTGGCCTGTGGTGCTGGAGGAGCCGGGCCGGGGCGGGCGGCGCCGGTACTCACTGCTGCAGCGTCTCGAAGCCTTGCTCCTTATACAGCAGTTCCTGCTTCATCTGGCACAGCTCCTGCTTCAGCTTCTTCACCTGAGGGGAGGCGGCAGAGTCGACAGGGGTGTCTGTCAATGATTAGCTGCGCCCGCTTTAACAGGTAACCCGCGGGTAAACCATTAAGCAGGGAGGCACGGCTGCGGGGGCACCACTGCTGTTGGGGGCGCGTGTCCCCCCCAGTCCGGGGAGGCCCGGACAAGGGTGGTGGATTCCGGGGACCAACTCTGTAGCCCTCAGTCTGTCGGCAGATCTGTCCCGCTGGGCGCCAGGCTGTGAAGTCGCCCTTAGCTATCGTCCCCGCCAGAGCTGAGGGGCCAGTTGGCAGAGAAGCAGCCCAGGTGCCCCAAGGATAAAGGCTGGCTGCAGGGTGGAGTACGTGCCAAGCACATGAGGCCCTGAGTTCCATCCTTGGCCCCTCTGGTTTGTCTCCTGGCAGCACTGTGGTGTGGCCCGGAGTCTCCCGAGCACTTTTAGGTAAGAGTGGCGCCTAAACACACACACACACACACACAAGCGGGGGACTGGAGAGAGTATAGAGGGGAGGGAACCTGTCGCGCAAGCAAGCAGGCAAGTGGCTCTGGTTCTGTCCCCCAGAGATCTGGAGAAATCAGGAGCACAGAGGCAGGAGTAAGCCCTGGCACTGCCGGGTGTGCCTCCAAACCCCACTAAAAATAAATTAAAAATCTTCTCACGGGACCACGGGATGCGGATGAAACCCAGGTCTTCCGTAGGTAAGACCAGCGCCCTGGCCGCTGTCCTATCACTCCAGCTCCTACAAAGCACTTTAAATACAACAACAGAAACTCTTGTTCACATCCCTATGTCCTCTGCTGGGTCTCCCAGCTCTGACCTTGACCTGGGGTCCAGGCTAAGCCGGTCATGCTCCCTCTCCCCAGCTGGGCAGCTCACTGCCCACCGCTCACATTTCCCTCCGATTTGTGCACCCCCAGGGAGAAGAAAATCTGTAGCTGAAGCTTCTAGAACAAACTTTGCCAATGGGGCGGGGGCGGGGGCGGGGGAGGGCGAGGAATCCATGTTTGTGGTAGGGGGTTGGGGAGGGAGGGACACATTTTCTCCTGCTATTATATATATTTGGGACAACAACACTGACACTGGGCAGGCCTGACAGTGCTGGGCTGGTTTCATCACGAGCTAAAAGGCTTCCTCAGTCACAGAAATTCACTTCCATAGATTAAGAAATGGTTTATTGCCCAATCCTAGCAGATTTTATGTCTCTCTCTCTCTCTCTCTCCCCCTCCCCCGTCTCTCTCTGTTTTTCCTTGCAAAAAAAAAATTAGGTTGTGATTATTTTGTGAAGCTTTAAAAACTTTTTTTTTACTGGTCTATCTTAAGAATAGTGTGAAGGGCAACAGCGATACAGGGCAGCTGGGATGGGTTTGCCTTGCATGTGGCTGACCCGGGTTCCATTCCTGGCATCCCACAGGGTTCCCTGAGCACCGCCTTGAGTAATTCCTGAGTGCAGAGCCAGAAGTAATTCCTGAGCATCACTGAGTATGGCCCCCTCCCCTCCCCTCCCAAAAAAACCCACATGGTGTAAAAACTATGTGCAGTGATGGTTATTTGTGAAATAGAGAAATACGTTTCCAAAGGTGCTTTTTGAACTTTCATTCCTTGTTTCTTCTACCCCCTTCCACAAATATTGATGGATGCCCCACCACGGGGGAACCAAACAGACGTGATCTTTGCCCTCGGGGCTTCAGAGCCATGAGGGAGCTGGGCACTCGGCACATCATCGAGCCACAAGCATAGTGGCCACTCGCAAGAGGAGATGCAGCTTGGGGAGAATGCCGGGTCCAGAGCAATTGCATCAAGATCGTGGACCCTTGCTCTTCGCCCTTCTACAAATCCATCTGCTTGTTCTAGTGACTACTGAATATTGCATGGGATCTGCCCACTACTGCTGAAGATTTTTTATTTTGTTTTGTTTTATCCTTAGAATTTCTGCTAACTCTGCTTTATGTAGCTTGGGGCCCATATTTTAACAGTTGCGGCAGAGACCCATAGTCCTCTTCCATTCCCTAGAAGAGAGCGATTTGACCAAAAATCTATCTCTTAAAAATTTAACAAAACTATACAGGGGTTGCCTCCCTGGCCCAGAAGACTGCAGGCGTACCTGACCATGGACGGTTCTGAACCCGTCTGCTACCAGGATTTTATCCTATCCAAACACACCAATGGTAGTTTAATTTATAAAGTGGACAGAGCAAGAAACTAATAACAACAACTAATAATCATAGTATCATCGGGCAATTCTAACAATGTCCCGTAACAAAGGCTGGATGGTCTCTGTCTCTCTGTCTTATGCAGAACACCTATTTGTATTGTACACAGTATTTTAGGACTGAGGTTGAGGCAAACCAACTGCAGCAAGGGGAGATTACTGTCTCGTCTTCACCTTGCTTATAATTAATTATCTTCTCCCCCCATCCTTTCATTTTTAACTTCTCTGTATCTTCATTTCCTGTGTCTCTTGTAAGCAGCAGTTAGAAAGGTTTTATTTCTTTTTTACAAATTTACTGAAATTTATTTTTTGCTTTTTTTTGGAGGGGGGTCACACCCAGCGATGCTCAGGAGTTCCTCTTGGCTCTGCACTCAGAAATCACCCCCAGGGGTGCTTCAGGGGACCATATGGGATGACGGAGATTGAACCCAGGTTGGCTGCCGGGTTGGCTGTGTGCAAGGCAAACCTCTACCCACTGTACTATTGCTCCAGCCCCAGGAAGATTTTTTTTTCCAAATCCAGCCTATTAATATGTATCTTACAATGCGAACATGTAATACAATCATGCTGAAGTTTGACTATTGCCACATCTGGAGCTAAGTGCACCGACTCACAAGAAGCCCTTCAGGCAGCAAACCTTCTCTCTGTTCCTCCCTGGCTGGCTGTGCTTAGTGTTTCTGGGCTGACTGAGCATGGGGATGTGGTATGTGAATCTGATTCTGTCCAGAAAAGCCTTTACTTCTGGCACTGGAAGGAAGCTGCTTTGCTGGGTATAAAATCTTAGTTGATGATTATTTATTCTTAGTATGCAGAGATGATTCCACTTTCTTTCCAATGCTGGTACGAAATAGTCCATTATCTCTCTTCAGTTGTTGGACCTTTGCAGATAATCTTTTTTCTTCCTGCACCTTAGTATTTCAGGCATCATCTGATCAATTAACAAAAGTTCTACCTCCATTTTTCTGTCTGTTTGTTCGTTTGTTTGTTTTGTTTCTCTCTGGCTGGAGTGATAGCACAGCAGTAGGGCGTTTGCCTTGCAGGCAGCCAGCCCCGTGAGCTGGGTTCAATTCCTCCACCCCTCTCGGAGAGCCCAGCAAGCTACCAAGAGTATCTCGCCCACGCGGCAAAGCCTGGCAAGTTACCCGTGACGTATTCGATATACCAAACACAGTAACAACAAGTCTCACAATGAAGATGTTACTGGGCCCGCTCAAGCAAATCGATGAACAACGGGAGGACAGTGCAGTGCTACAGTGCTGGTGCATGAGAAAGTGTGCACTAGGATTATTCAGTCTACTAGGGATCAAAAAGTAACACACTCAGAGGGTAGAATTTTTCTTTCCCTTTCTTGGCTTTGCATCATTTTTCTAAACAGGTAACTTCTCCCATGTCCCTCTGAAAGGGGTGGTAGAGTCATAGTGCAGTATTTAATCAATTACTAATTGGTTGAAGCAGTGTAATAGTCAATCAATTACTGATTGATTGATTGATTGGGTGCAGTGCCAAGGATTGAACTCAGAATCTCACAGGGGAGGCACCTGTTCTGCCAATGAAACACCCAGGGTTACGGATGCTCTACGAGACCTTGGGGTGGGGGGCTAGAGCAATACTACAGCAGGTAGGGCATTTGTCTTGCGCGCAGCTGACCCGGGTTCGATTCCCAGCATTGCATATGGTCCCCCAAGCACCGCCAGGAGTAATTCCTGTGTACAGAGCTAGGAGTAATCCCTGCGCATCACTGGGTGTGACCCAAAAAGAGAAAAAGAAAAAAAAGACCTTGGGTTTTCAAAAATACATTCTTGGGGGCCAAAGCGATAGTATAACAGGGGGGTCCTTGCCTTGTATGCGGCTGGCCCAGATTCTATCCCAGGCACCAGAGGGTCCCCAGAACCCTGCCAGGAGAGATCCCTGAGCACAGAACCAGGAGTAAGAATTGAGCAATGCTGGGTGTGATCCCCCAAACAAACAAAAAAGCCCCAAAACATTCTGGGCTAGAGTATTAAGGCACTTGCCTTGTACATGGCCAGCCCTTGTCCCCGCGCTGGAACCACACTGTGTCCCCTGAGCCCCAACCAGGAGCGACCCCTGAGCGCAGAGCTGGGTGTAAGTCCTGAGCATGGCTAGGTGTGACCCCAACCCCAAATAAATCAATAAGAATACTGTCACCAAACTCCATGGTAAAGCACGCCCGGAGTTCAATGTGGATCCTGAGGGGTTTTGTCCTAAAAGAAAGGGTGAGGGGAGACCCACCTTCCATAAAAAGTAGGGAAGCCCAGATTTCAGACAGCTCAAAGGGACAGTTTGAGTCTGCCCTGGCCAAAAATGGGGTGGCAGGCCAAATAAGTTTGGGAACACCTGGTTTAAATTCTTGCTTTTGAACCACAGGACTCAAAAGGAGAGAGAGAAAAAAGGGAATGCCCTGCCACAGAGGCAGGGTGGGATGGGGGTGATGCGGGGTGGGAGGGATACTGGGATTGGTGGGGGTGGAGAATGGGCACTGGTGGAGGGATGGGTACTCGATCATTGTATAACTGAAACCCAAGCACAAAGATTTGTAAGTCTATAACTGTACCTCATGGTGTCTCACTAATAAAAAAAAATCTTAAAGGAATGCTGGAGAAATTTAAAAAAGCCAAGATAACATGATATTTAAATAAAGTGTTTTATCTGTGAAAAAAAAAATTCTTGCCTTTGTTCTCATCATTCCCACCTCCCCCTCCTTCTTTTGTTACTGGGCCACATGAGGCTGTGCTCAGGACTTACTCCTGTGCTGTGTCTGGAAGCCCCTTCCCCTCATACCATCTCTCTGGCCCCCTGGTTTCATGTTCACACATAACAGCCCAGAGACCGCCAAAGGAGTCAACTGCTGGCCCAAAATAAAAGAGGCAAAAAGCCGACCAGGTCCAAGTTTGTGATACATAAGCAATCTAGACAAGGCTTTAAGTAGGACATGGAGCTTAGATAACTGATTATTTTGTCCAAACATTACATATGTATGTACAGAATGTGGGCATGTAGCAAAAATAAACAGATATATCCATAAAAAGCATCAAACAGAAAATTTCAAAAGGGAAAAAATACACTGGGGACTAAAACTGAAATCGGCAATAAAAGAAAAATCCCCAAGTGTTTAATCTGAAGCAATACAGTCACATGAGAAATCATAAAGAAGCCAGGAAATATTCTAAGTCGACTGACAATGAAAATGCAATGCTCAGACCTCCTGGGGCATGGGCGAGCGGCTAAGTCATTCAGCGCGTCCAGAAGGGTCTCGAGAGTGAGCCTGAGCCCCCTCGCCGGCATTTGCTCAAATGGGAGCAGAAGACGGATTTTCCCTTTGGATGCAGCAATTTCGCTCCCAGTGGACAATCCACGAAAAGGGGTCCCGTGTGGACCGAACAACAAGTATACTAGTCCGGTTCGTTAGGGCATTCTTCTGAAGGAGCGGAAATCGGACTAAACGTGACTGTGCATAGGAAGGAGACGGGATAAGCAACGTGGAGGCCGGACACAGAAACAAAATGTTTGAGAGTGGCTGTGTCTGCTCAGGTGGCTGCACTGAAGCATAAGCGGATGACACGGGTGGACGCCCCTCAGCTTTCAGGGTTCAAAGCAGGCAGACACTTCAGCCTGGGTGTGTCCGGGGACAGTGTTCCTACCAGGGAGGAGGATAATGACAAAGAGAGGGGACGCGGTGGGGCTCTGGGCTCAGGCTAATTCCTCGTTCACGGCACAAGTGTGGGTTGAAGGGATTTGCTTGCCAGGCCAACAGCAGCTTGGCCAGAAAGAGCAATGGCCAGCCCACACCCCCAAGGAAGCACAGGAAGGAAAGCAAGCCTCAGTGGAGGAAAGGAAGGACGAGGGCAGTGTCTGTGGGGGCGAGGTCCTGGGTTTCATCCCCACGACAAAAAAAAAAAAGTGACTTCCTGACAAGAACCGGAAGCCCCTTTAAACAGTGGGGCGCCAGAGAGGGGCGGGTGAGAGCCCTCCCTGCCCCAAGGGATCCAGCCCCGGCAGCCAAAAACTTCCAGAACCCAACTGCCACTTCACTCAAGGCCTCACTCACCTCACTCATGCTTGGGCTAAGCCTCACGTATGAGTGAACGTATTACTGGACCTCGCATGACCGCGGACATCATACATAAGACACTCCCTACCCATTCTCCATAAGTACCACACCACATTTGATGGGGTTCAAATAATAGGCAACGAATCATAAAGGGAAATATACATGTATATATGCATGTGTACATATTTTCAGATGTAGATATGAAAGCTCACATCACTCAACCTTTAACAACACGCGTTAGTAATATCCTAAAGAATATCTTAATGCCCCCTGACAAAACAGAACAGTCTTCACCCTGTTTCCTCTATGGATACTTTTTTGTAGCATTTTCAGCGGTTTTTCATAACAGATAGTATAAACTATATTATTTCGATTGTGCTTTGGGACAGGGATTGGGGCTTGGGATGGAAACATCCCAAATCTGGTGGTGGGAAGGTGTCATGGTAGTGGGATTGGTGTTTGAATATTAAATGCAATCAAATATTGTGAACTACCTTATAAAATAAAAACAATTAAAAAAAAATAACTAGTGGGGCGCCTGCAGAAAGAGCAGCTGGGCTCAACTCCCAAAGGCAGATCTGAGTGCGATAAGGAGAAGCCGTCAAAATTCAAAGTTTGATTTAGGCGTCCACCGCCAACCAGGAAGCTCCTGGCCAGGCCATGGAACACAGCGGGCCGGGATGTGGCCGCGTTCAGCACTGGATGTCTCCCGGCCCTGCCACCCGTCCACAGTGCTCGGGTGTATCCTGGCGGGAGGGAAAAGAGAGTCTTACCCTTAATCGTGTCGTGGAGATCTCGGCCTTCAAGATATCAGGGTCGTACTTAGTACTGGAAGAAGAGCCTGAGAATACTTTCGAGAGAGAAGAGAGAAAAAAAAAGAGAGAAGTGACTCTGAGGAACTGTACAGCTATGTCTCGACTGGGCATTTACCCTGACAAGCGGCTACCATGATAAAACGTCCTCACACCTTTATAACTTTCCTTGGGAAACCCAGAAGGGCAGGGAAGGGGTCCAGCATCCAGCACCGCCACAAATAAAAACCACGTGGGCCGGAGAGGACAGTACAGTGGGGAGCGCTCTTGCCTTGCACAAGGCTGACCCGGGTAAGATCCCCGTTATCCCATATGGTCCCCCGACCCCATCAGGAATGATTCCAGAGCGAGGAGCCAGGAATAAGCCCTGAACACCGGCAGGTGTGGCCCAAAAACCAAAATAAAAAATTAAAATAAAAACCACCACCAGCAACTGGAAAAAAAGGCATCTAGGTGACGAAACCCCTGGGTCTACTTTTCTTCGAAGCACAGAAACAAAATCTTAGAGGCTCGATGGCAGCTACGGAGAGCGGTGCAGTATCAAGCCCGTCGGAGCCCGTCACAGCTGCCTCTGGAAGCCAGGGACAGGGAGCAGTGGCCATGGAAGCTCTAGGGCATCACTCTCCTCCTGCCTGGCCCAGGAAGCTCTGTACTAGGTGGAGCAGAAAAGGCCAAATTCTTTGCCTTGAGCCAAAAAGGTAAACAAAACAAAACAAAACAAAAAATCAACTCATGATGACATTGAAGACAACTGGGGAACAGGCCAGGGAGCTCGGCGCAAGCCTGGCACGTGGGAGACCCTGAGTTTGATCCCAGTACATATATAATACATACATGAGTAAAATCACACGTGGATAGATGAACGAATGGATAAGTGAAGAAATGCATGAATGAATGAAGATCGGCCAGGCAAAGGGAGGGTGAGAACAGAAGGGATTGGGGCTCCCCTGATGAGAAGGCTTCTAGCTGGGGACGCAGGCGTCCTGCCCAGCCAGACCTTTGAGAGGTACCTTCCCCATCAAGAAGCAGCTGACCCAGAGCCAATGTACAATCAAGAAGCTGTCTCTTCACTAGCAACAGCCTGGTCTGCCCTCACGTCCTCCTGCCTTCCTTTCCTTTCTTTTGCTTTTAAGACTCCCCTGCTGGTGCTTGGGGCTAACTCTTGGCTCTGCGCTCAGGGATCACTCCTGGTACTGCTCAGGGAATGGACCCAGGCCGGTCACAGGCAAGCACGCTACCCACTGAGCTTCTTCGGCCCAGGCAGCACCCCACCCACTGAGTTCTCTCTTCGGCCCCAGGCAGCACCCCACCCACTGAGCTCTCTCTTCGGCTCCAGACAGCACCCTACCCACTGAGCTCTCTCTTCGGCCCCAAAACGCACCCTACCCACTGAGCTCTCTTTTCGGCTCTCTGACCCCCTCCAGCCCAGAGCATCAGTTTACAGCCAAGTGCCCCCACTCACAGCTTGTACGCGAGCTCGACTTCTCCTTGTAGGCGTCGTTGAGCCGCACATACTCATCCAGGGCCAGAGCCAGCCTCTGCTCCTTCACGTGGTACAGCTCCTTCTGCGTGCGGAGCGCGTCCCGCGCCACCGACAGGTAATCCTTGAGCATCTTCTCCTGCTCGCCCCGCCATTGTTTCCGCGGGTCTTCGATCTGCGTGGTTTCTGGAAAGACACGGGCAGGGGACTTTTGTCATCGAGGTTGCCGAGGGCAGGCTTGGGAAATAGTTTAAACGTCCCAAACTAGAATGCAAGCGCGAGGCACCAGCTCTGATCCCTGGCACTGCTGAGCCCAAGCAGCATGGCACCCAGGCCTGGTCATGGAACCAAGCATCTCTGGAGAGTCCCCTGGGGACCCTGAGCACTGCTAGGGAGAAAAGGGAGCAGCTTAAATTCCTCTGTCCTCTGAGGTGTTCACTGGCATCAGATCTCCAGAAATCCGCTTCCGTTTTAGCTGACATCATTGGTCTCCGTCCACTCCTTCCGGGCCCTGGTCAGTGACTCATTCTCCCCATGAATGGTCCAGACAAACTCCCCCCAGCTGGACCAGGACTGTCCAGAACTCTTAGGCTCCTCCAGCCCACCAATGGCTTTCTACAGATGAAAGACTGGACTCTTTCGCCTGCATCCAAGTTATCTCTGACCTCGGTTTTGTCCATCCCCCATTCCCCAGCCCCGTTTCCTGCACCCCAAATCTTTGGCCACTTCCTCGAGGGTACAGTCCTATTTCAGGCTGCCACCAGCGCTGCTATTCACCCCAGGCCAACAACCGCCCACCACAAGAAGCACAGACGCCCGGCAAGAACACTCTGCCACGATGACAATAATGGCAATCGCTACAGTGGTGAATTATCTGCTGACTAATATTATTGGGGCTTATACTGCTGAGTTCCTTGGAGTGGGAGGAGGCGCATTCTCCCCGTGGCGGCTTTGCACTACACTTTACAGAAACACAAGTCAGAGCCCCCACCCAGACCCGGCGTTTCCTGGCACCAACACTGACCCCCGCTCCTCAGTCAAACCCCAAAGGAACATGATGCTGCTGAATCTCCCCAGGCAGGTGGGTCCAGGCTGAGAACTCGGGGCCCTTCTGGGAATGGGGTGAGAAGCCCCTTCCTGCCTGCAGACCCACCACCCCCCAGCCACATGGCTCCCTCTGGCACAGGAACCCTCCTGCTTTATGACTAAACCGTGCCAGACTGCCCAGTCACCGAGTTCTTCCAGCCCACAGCTTGAGTGCGTGGCCGCGTGAAACCTCCCCACTTCACAGCACTGCCAGCCCAGTAGGGGCGCTGCAAACGCGATGGGAAAATCGCAGAGAAGCCCATCAAACTCAGTGAGCAAAAACAGTCACCCAGAAGGTTCCACGGGTACCAACCAGCCCCGGCGAATCCTCAGACACACCAGGAGGACCATAGTGAGATCTGACAATAAGCACAGATCGACTCTTAAGGATCTCTCTTCTGAAAATTCCATTTGCCCGTTTGCTGGAACAAGCAACAGGAAATACACCTGTTTGTGTCATCTAAGGGGGCAGGCTGCGGGGGTGGGATCGGTGTTGGAACGGCGCATGTCTGAAACAACTCCCAGGTATGATCCCCAGTACCCCATATGGTCCCCTGAGCTCCGCCGGGAGTGATTCCTGAGCCAAGCACCAGGCGGAAGCCCTGAGCATCGCTGGGTGTGGCCCCCAAACACAAGCCAACAAAAAAAGAAATTCTAAAACAAACCCTGGCTGTAGTTTGAGGAGAACAGCTTAGGGCCTTAGGACTGGCTCCTAAGTACTTTCCTGCTTCAGCTGCAGAGTAAGGCCAACAAAAAACATCTTTTCTTTTTTAAAATTTTTTCTTTTTGGGTCACACCCAGCGATGCTCACGGGTTCCTCTTGGCTCTGCACTCAGGAATCATTCCTGGTGGTGCTCAGGAGATCATATGGGATGCCAGGGAGCCAATCTGGGTTGGTCAGGTACAAGGCAGACGCCCTCCCCGCTGTACTATCACTCCGCACCCTCCCCCCCCCCACCAACAAAATCTCAGTGAGTCAGCTTTCCTCTGGTGGACCCCGGGCAGTGCTGCCGTATTTCACCTAATGGTCATGGCCACATGATCACTGGAGGCTATTCTGTCCAAAAGCTGAGTTTTAAACTTTGGTCTTACGGGCTGGAGCGATAGCACAGCGGGTAGGGTGCCTGCCTTGCATGCGGTCAACTCAGGTTCGATTCCCAGCATCCCATATGGTCCCCTGAGCACCGCCAGGAGTAATTCCGGAGTGCAGAGCCAGGAGTAACCCCTGTGCACTGCCAAGTGTGACCCAAAAAGCCAAAAAAAAAAAAGTAAATAAACTTTGGTGTCTTAGGACCAGAGCCATAGCACAGCAGGGAGGGTGTTTGCCTTGCACATGGCCGACCTGGGTTCGATCCCCGGCATCCCATATGGTCCCCCAAGCACCAATCACTCAGGAGTGATTCCTGAGTGTAGAGCCAGGAGTAACCCCTGAGCATTGCTGGGTGTGACCCAAAAATAAAAAATTAAAAACTAAATAAACTTTGGTCTCCTGACCCTTGCCGGCATGACTGTCTGTCGGGCCCCTGGAAGTCGGGCACCAGCAGTGGTTTCCCCCAGTGGCCCACAGCTGTGCATTTTTCAAAGCATGCTGTCAGTTTCGGGAAGTCGAAGCGTGTGGCCTGTTTTGGTGTCGCGGTGCTGATAAACGGGCCTGGGGTCAATGCAAGGATGAGCTCGAGGTGCTGGGAGTCACAGGGGGGCGGGTGACAAGGTCCGGAGTCAAGACTCAAACCTTCCCGCCTGAAGCTGGACAGTTCCTCTGCCAGCAGCCTGGTCACGTGCGGGGAGCTTTTCTTTCTGATTCAGGGTAAAAATAAAAAATGACTCTGGAGGCGTCACCAGCCCATTGCAACATACAGTCACGAGTATTCTGTGCATCCTAATCTCGCGCTAAAGATAATTTAGCAATAAATGATGCATTTTGGTTTTGCTTTGCGGCCACACCCAGCAGTGCACAGAGCGGGAGTGTATGTGATGCTGGGGAATCGAACCCAGGTCAGACACACACAAGACAATCACCCTACCCGCTGTGCTATCTCTCTGGCTCCTGGTGACAAATGATTTTCAAGGAATACCAGCACGTGTGATTGTTTGTGTGTGTATGTGGGGAGGTGGGGGGTGGGTGCGGGGTGGAGTGAGCTTCAAGCTTCATTTTTCTTGCAAAAACAAAATTGTCATTAAAACGGCCGGCAATGATCAATGATCGCGTGGTGAAAATACAGTGGCTGTGGAAGCTTCCAGGCAAGGCCAAGAGTAGCAGTAAGGGGTGGCGAGGGCCATGGTGTTGGGTGTCCTAGGCAGAGCCCCACTAGGTCAGGAATAAGGTGGCCACAGGCCAGTGATCAGCCCTTGCTGGCCAACAACCCCACATGAATGAGTCTGGAAACAGACCCCATCTATAGCCCTCCCAGGCAGGGCAGCCTCTGGGGACAGTGGACAGAGGAGACCAGACAATGGACCAAAGGGCCCAGCTAAGCCCAGCCAGGGTGTGACCCACAGTGTCCAGGAGACAATCAAAGCGTTTTCAGTTTCGGAGGAATCTGGGATTGTGAGACAGATAACCAATAAAACGAAGCACACTGAAGCCTTGGGAGATACTAAAACACATCCCTACATGCAAGGCTTTGCACATCCCGGCCATTCTTTTCAGAGGACGTGTCCTCTCAGGATCTTTGGAGATTCCGTCTAACCCGGTGGCCCTCCCTTGGGGGAGCTGGCCTATTTGCAGTCAAATGCTTGTCCATGGCTGAAATGCCAAAGGAAGTAGCAACAGGCTTAAATGACCACAGCACCCTCACCATAAGCCATTGGCACTTGTTTTGGATAAATCAGCAGAAAAACAAGCACCAAACTTGGAAGAGAAGCCGTGGGAGAAAGAGACATTTCTGAAAGAGGGCACCATTCAGGGTGAAACCATCGAGGGTCCCTGCGGGCACCTCTGCAGGGGCAGTCCCAGGCTGAGCCTGTCTCACGCCCAGTCATTATCTTGGCGCAAGAGATTTGCCAAGATTCCCTCACTGTGAAGACTCCCAGGTGCTTACCCAAGGATAGTGGTTTGTTGTTTTTTTTTTTCCTTCTCTTCTTTTTTTGATTAGACCATAATGATATACAGCTACAAAGTTGTTCATGGTTAGGTTTCTGTCATATAATGTTCCAACACCTGTCCCTTGACCAGTGTACATTTCCCACCACTAATGTCCCCAGTGTCCCTCCTGCACCCACCCCCACCTGCTGCATCTATGGCAGACACTTTCTCTCTCTCTCTCTCTCTCTCTCTCTCTCTCTCTCTCTCTCTCTCTCTCTCCCCCCCCCCCCCCACTTTTGGGCCTTATGGTTGGCAATACAGATACTGAAAGGTTACCAGGTATATCCCCCTTTACCTACTTTCAACACTCAGTTCCTGTCCAAAATGATCATTTCCAACTATTAGTGTCATGTTGGTCCCTTCTCTATCCTAACTGCCCTTCACACACACAACCATTAACCAGTCCTCCTGGACCCACACAGTATTTATTATTATGATGATGATGATTGATGATGATGATGATGATGATGAGAATGCGTCTGCTCTGGGGATCACGGAATTCTGGTGCACGATCATTTATTTGCATGTTGTCTACTCGGTGGAAGAAGATGCACTTCACGGGGCCTGAGTGACAGTGAGGAGGGTATTTGCCTTGCATGTGGCTGACCCAGGTTCAATCCCCGGCATCAAATGGTCCCTGAGCACCGTCAGGAGTAGTTCCTGAGTGCAGAGCCAGGAGTAACCCCTGAGCATTGGCGGGTGTGAGCCAAAAAGTAAAAAAAAAAAAAGTATACCACTAAAGAAGATGAGAAGAGCTCAGCAGACAGCACAAACCAACGTGCGAACGGTAACACACCCATTCCCCATCGTTTAACACCGTGAACAACATCAAACCGTTGACAGCTGTTTACCGCCACCTGGGGTCAGGGCTGTGAGACTCACAGTAACCCATCACTTCAGGCCCACTATAATGGAACGCACTTGGAACGGCATTACGGAGTGTTGTCGCAGTGTGGATTGCCTGGAACTCTCCAACGTGGGGGGCAACTAGGAGAGGGGACAGCCACTCCACAGAACTGCTCACTGCTGTCTTGGAAAAGGCGAGTCTGCACGTGAAACAGGGCCCAGCAGCTCTACTCCCGAGCCTGGGAACAAAAGTTTATGCACACGAAACGCTGTTCAAAGCACCTACATGCACAATGAGCCCTTCCTTACCCCCACCCCAAGGAAGCCCAAGTAGTCATCAGATTTGACTATTTGACTACGGTGGATGAACGCATTTGGGCCTAACCATACCAGGAAACAGGACTTGACAATTAAAAAAAAAAAAAGGGTCAGCTTGCCGAAAGATGCTATATGAGAGAATCTACAACATTGTTCCAGAAAAGAGTTCGTGCCGCATTCTTCTATTCTTAAACATTTCTAGAAGAGGAAGAAGTTACGTCTGGTATTAGAAAGGAGATGGCCTCTGGCTGAGGGAGGACGCGGAGGAAGGAGAAAGTTTCTGCAATAATGCAACTGCGGTGTTACCACACTAAAAATGCACGCGTTTGGTGGAATGTGAGTTATGTGCCAATCACGTTGGTTCTATAATACCGATGGGGGGAGGGCAGGGAGGTCACAGCAAGGCCAAAGAAAGTGCAGAGGCTCAGCCCAGCTCACAGTGGACTGGGTTTGATCCCAGGCTCTGCATGTGGCCCCTGGTCAGGGGCCACTCCTGAGCATGCACCAGCAATAGCCCTGGAGCACTACTGAATGTGGCCCCCAAAACAAACAAACAAACAAACAAAGTAAAACACCTGGAAATAGTCAACAGAAAATCAAAAGATCACTTCTACTCTGGAAAGCATAAAACTTGAAGAAATTAAAGAAAATCTCCATAAATGAATGATGGTCTATAGCAGTATCTAGCGAGACAGTCATTTCCCGATGGATACAATCCAAAATTCCAACATGCTCTGCTGGAGAAGTTGATGAGCAGATTTAAGATTTGTCTTAAAATGCAAAGAATCTAGAACAACTGATATAAAGAACGAAATTGGGAGTTATACTACTTGACTTTAAGACTTGGCACAAAGTCACATGCAGAAAAAGTGGCAAAACAGTTCAATGAAACAATGTCAAGAATCCTTAATATAGGGGGCTAGAGCCATAGTACACCAGGAAGGGCGTTTGCCTTGCACACAGCCAACCCATGGTCGATCCTCAGGACCCTGTATGATCCCCTGAGCACCGCCAGGACTAATTTATGAGTGCAGAGCCAGAAGTAACCCCTGAGCATCACCAAGTGTGACCCAAAAAGAAAAAAGAAAAAAGAAGAATCCTTAATATAGATTCACATAAGCAACCAAATAATTCCAACCTCGGCTCTAAGTCAGTTCACTGGGGGAATGAAAGCTTTGTTGATGGGACCAGAGAGGCTGAACAGGGATTAAAGGGTGTGCCTTGCTCAGGGCTGACCCTGGATCAGTTCCTGGCATCACATATGAGATCCTGAGCACTGCTAGGAATGATTCCCTGAGTACAGAGCCAGGAGGTAAGCCCTGAGCAACGCCCGTGTTCTCCAACCAAAAAACAAAGCTGCTTTAAGAAACTGCGCTGGAACATTTTGATGATGTATAAGGAGGAAAATTGGCCTTTATTTCACGTTCTCCTGAAATACAGTGAGCCACACACTTAACCATGAAAACTAGACAGAGTTATAGGAGAATATCTTCATAATCTTGGAAGATATATTTCTGGGGGGGGGGCAGATACTGAAAACTATAATAAAATAAAAATAAATGTCACACCTAGCTTCCAAGTTTCAAACTTGGGAAAATAAGTAGACAAGCCACAGGTTGGGAAATAAATCTTCATAGTACACGTATGTATCTCATAAGAGATTCATCCAAAATAAATGAAAATAATTCTTCAAAATCAACATTAGAAAGGACAAGTGATCCAACTTAAAAAATGGACAAAAACAGTGGCAGACATTTCACCCACAGAGATACAACAGGGGCCAAGAGACAAATGAAAATGTGCTCAGCATCATTAGTCACTGGAGAACTGCAAGTCAAAACCGAGACACACCGTGTTACACTCACGCCCTGACAAAGGCACAACGGGCCGAAGGAGAAAAATTGGACATTCAGCGGTGAACTCAGCGTAGCTGATTTATAATGAGGATAACACAATAGTAAAACTTCAAAATTATTTTAAAAAATTTCTTTTAATGAAAATCAATATAAAACATGGCCACCATCAAATGTTGACTATCAAACTGAGTAACCAGTGGCTGAGTATAAAATAATTCCACTCTAGACCATGGCTGGGTTTACAAGGCAGCCATATCCCCACACCCCGCATGGTCTCGGAGCCCGCGAGGAGTGGTCCCTGAGCACAGAGCCAGGAGTAAGCCCGAAGGACTGCCAGGTGTGGTCCAACCCCAGCCCCTCCCCTTCACTCCCCCACAAAAGGAAGTCATACATCTGACCTAGCACCTGCATTCCTGGGTATTTATCTGAGTGATAATTAAAACATATAGATCCGGGCCAGAGCGACAGTACAGAGGATAGGGCGTTTGCCTTGCACGCAGCCTACCCAGGTTCGATTCCCAGCATCCCATATGGTCCCATGAGCACTGCCAGGAGTGATTCCTAAGTGCAGAGCCAGGAGTAAGCCCTGTGCATCACTGAGTATGACTCTCCCCCCAAAAAATATCCAGGGGCTGGAGTGATAGATAGCACAGCAGGTAGGGCATTTGCCTTGCACACGGCCAACCCGGGTTCAATTCCCAGCATTCCATATGGTCCCCCAAGTACTGCCAGGAGTAATTCCTGAGTGCATGAGCCAGGAATAACCCCTGTGCATCGCCGGGTGTGACCCAAAAAGAAAATAAAAATCCATACAGATCCACAAAAAAGACTTACAAAGGATCATTCACATTCACATTGACCTTTTTTCCCTAAGCGGTAAAAACTGGAAATAGAAACGGTGGCATGGATTAAAAAGTGGTCATTCACTCCTAACATGGGATGCTCAGCCATTAAAAGGCATTAGCTGGAAACGCACCCGAGAGCGTGGCTCAACAATGCCCCCGGTGGTTCTCTGCTTACGCTTCTCTGTTCAGCGCCAACGTCCGTCCTAACGGGATTGAGTGTGCTCCTGTGACCACTGACCCTGACTACTGCCCCCTGGACCCGTGTGGGAGCATGACAGATGCGGGACGTGAATATGGGCACGCACTCAGATCCAAAGGCTGCTGAAGTTAGTGGGACCCCCACCATCCCCAAACCAGGAAACAGAACCCGGGGGGGGCTGTCCCCCACATTATAAGACCGCGTCCAGAGATGCTGTGAGGGGCGATCTCCCCCACCCACCCAAACACACAGGCCAGAGCCTGGAGGTCAGGCTTCCAGTGCTCCCCTCGCCCCACCTCTTCCCGGGTGCAGATAAGAAGGAGGAGGAGGAGACTGCCAGCGGTGGGAAGAGCGGCCAGGCTGTTCCAGCTTCAGAAAAATGGGACATTTTTAAAAGCTCATGGAGGGGCTAGAGCGACAGCTAGAGGGGAGGGCATTTGCCTTGCACACGGCCGGCAAGGCATTAGCTGAAAACGCACCCACACACTGTGCTATCACTCCAGCCCCATATCCCATAAAATTCCAGAATATAAAAATATTAATAAAAGTTACAAGCAGGACTGGAGCGATAGACACGGCAGAGTCTGGCAAACTCCCCGTGGCGTACCCAATATGCCAAATACCAGTAACAATGATGGGTCTCATTCTCCTAAGGTAAAGGTAAAGGTAAAGGCCCTCCCGTTGATCGTCGATTTGCTCGAGCGGGCCCAGTAACGTCTCCATTGGAGACTTTGTTGTTACTGTGTCTGGCATATCGAATACTCTCGGTAGCTTGCCGGGCTCTCCGAGAGGGGCAGAGGAATCGAACTCGGGTCGGCCATGTTGGCCGCTTGTAAGGCGAACGCCCTACCGCTGTGCTATCACTCCAGCCCTAAAGAGCCTTGAATATAATCTCAGGGCTAGGATGAAGGAGACATTACTGGGGCCTGCTCGAGGCAATCGACGAATAACAGGATGATTTGTGATTTGATTTGACTTGTGGAACGATAGTATATCAGGTAGGGTGTTTGCCTTGCACACAGCTGACCTCGGTTCAATCCCTGGCATCCCATATGGTCCCCTCAGCAACCACCAGGAATCATTGCTGAGTGTAGAGTCAGGAGTAACCCCTGTGCATCGCCAAATGTGACCCAAAAAGAAAAAAAAAAAGTTGTAAGGTGCAAGAGGGGGCCAGGAAATGGCTCAGAGGGCTGGAGCACATACTTCCCAAGCTGGCAGACTGCGGTCCACCCCGGCACCATGTGATACCCTCCTCCCCCATACTACCAAGAGGGATCCCTGAGCACTTAGCCTGAGCACAGCTGGGTACAGCCAAAAAAGAGTGGGGGCAGAGGACTGGAGAGACAGCACAGCAGGGAGGACGCTTGCCTGGTACACAGCCGCCCTAGGTTCAATCCCCGGTGCCCCACATGGCCCTCCAAGCCCACCAGGAATGATCTATGAGTGCAGAGCCAGGCATGAGCCCTGAGCACTGCCAGGCAGGGCCACAACACCCAGGGGGAAATAAAGCGCAGGAGATCTATGCACATACCCAGGGATCAGGGATGCAGGCTTTGCACTGACTGAAAGCCCAATACCATGAGGTCCCATAACATAGCCTGGGAGGGCCAAGGGGCACCTGGAACTCGGGGCCTGGCACTGAGCTGCCTGGCAGGGCTGAGTATTGTCGGGAGAGGCCTTGGCACAGTGAACAGAGTTTGGGAAGCTCCCCTCCTCCTCCACTTTGCCCCCATAAACAAAAGAAAAAATGAAAGAAGGCACGGGAAGGAAGGGGCAGGAGCAGGGGGAAGAAACGCCCTTGGCAAGATGCTTTCTCCTTTCTCAGGGGACCCCAGGTTCTCAGACGATCAGTCCCTGGGATTTTGGTCTTAGCAGAGAGGAAAAACTTACTGTTGATGTGATCGATGTAATAGACCCCGATCTGGGGGTCGAACCCGGCTTCCCATCCCCACGGCAGCTCATCCCCAACACAGTCAGCAAACGACAAGGGTTTCGTTAACCTGCAACAAAGGGGAAGAAATACAGGGTGAGTTTCTGCATGCGGAAAGAGCTAAACTCGGCCCGGGACCCAGGAGTCACACAGCTCTGTCTCGCTGCCTTTCGGCCCCTCATCTGTTCCTGGACTTCACACTACGATGTTCAGAATCTTTTGTTGCTGATGGATTTTCGGGGCTGCTGTTTTCCATCTCTTTGGTACAGCAGATGTTTTGTTTAGGGACGATGCCGGGGATCACACCCAGAACTTTACACATGCAAGGCAAGTACACTGGCCCTGAGCCAGGCCTGTGTTTGAAATCAACTAACATGGGGCCGGAGTGATAGTACAGTGGGGAGGGCATTTGCCTTGCATGCGGCTGACCCAGGTTCAATCCCTGGCATCCCATATGCTCCCCCCTCCCCCCCAAGCACCACCAAGAGTAATTCCTGAGTGCAGAGCCAGGAGTAATTCCTACTCTGCAGAGCTAGGAGTAACCCCTGAGTATTGCTGGGTGTGACCCAAAAAGCAAAAAAAAAAAAAAAAATCAATGGACAAGAAGCACAGGGGTTGGTGAGGTGTTTACTTTACTTTGCCTGCAGCCAATCCCAACTCCATCCCTCTCTGTACCGCATATGGTCCCCCCAGCACCATACGGTCCCCCAAGTACCTCCGGGGGGAAGCCCTGAGCCAGGTGTGCCCGCTCCAAACCCAAACCCAACAAAAGTCTCCAGCTTCCTGCTTTGTCTTGGGGGACATAAGTTTCAATGAGAGCTACTGATGGGTGAGGAGTCTCAGCAAGTGTCAGGCATGAAAGGTGACCGGACCATCAGGGCAACGGGCCATCTTCACCCAGAATCCTGGGGCTCAGCACGATGGCAACTCCATGAGGCCCAAAACGGTCCTCTTAGAAGATGCTCAAGCGTCATCGTCTACCCTACAATGCCTGGGGGATTTTCTCTCTGACAGGAAGCCAGATATTCTATTCCCCGATTCCCACACTCCCCTCCACCCTCCCCCACTCCCCCACCCCTCCCCGCAATTACAGCCGGCTAAAGGAGGGCTGAGGACTACCTCCACGAGGGGGCGAGATGGAGCCAGGGACCAGGGGGTTCTGCGTGAGTCCAGATGCCTCCCCGGGTGAGGTATGCGAAGGGATGGGTGGGGGAGAAGGTGTGGCCCCAGGAAGTGCAAAGGGGCCACTTCCGCCCAATCAACAGGGCCACCACAAGTCTGATAGGAAGAAGTGATTACGCTTGGGATCACAAAAGCTTTGGAACATGCACTCCGGTTCAACCCTTACTAAGCCTGATTGCACTTGCAAAGCATTTCCTTTAGCCCAGGCCGGCACTAACTGCCCAGCAGATAGCGTGCTATCGACAGAGACCTGAATCACATCTCTAAGTAGCTACCTCACTGTGAAGGCAACTAGAGCTCCAGATGTTTCCATTTCTGCAATTTTTTTTTTCTTTCTGCTATTTGGTCGCACCCAGCGACGCTCAGGGGTTACTCCTGACTCTGCACTCAGGAAATCTCTCTTGACAAGTGTCGGGGGGACCATATGGGATGCTGGGGATTGAACCTGGGTCAACCAGGATCAACCGCACGCAAAGCAAACGCCCTACCCACTGTACTATGGCTCCAGCCCCCATTCCTGGAATTTTAACATAAAAAAAAGAGAAAACCTACTCTGGAGTGTTGACTCAAAAATAAACAGGTAGAGTGTTTGCCTTGCACCTAGCCAACTCAGGCGATATTCTCAGCACCACCTGGAAAGCCGTGCACACCACGGAGCGTGGCCCCCCAACCAAAACAGCAATAATGATAATCGTCACACTCCATGTTCTGCATCTAGATAATGTATCTTTTCTCCACGCTCTATCAATAAATAACGTTTCTAGAGTCCAAAAGACACTTCACAAGACTGGCGCATATACTTTGCATGTGGAAGCCCAGGGTTCAGTCCCCAATCACGGTATATCCCCGAGCACCACCCAGAGTGACCAGCAAGCTGGGATCAGTCCCCAAACACTGCAGTGTATGGTCCCCAAACAAATTTAAAAAAATACTTATAAATTTGAAAATTCTGGGACTTCATTCTTACCTGAATTATAAGATATAAATAATAACACTCTCAGGTGCCAAATTAGGCACTCATTTATACTGTTACCTTGACAAAGGCAATATCAAGCAATGTACTAAGCAATCACACACACACACACACGCACGCACACACACACACACACACACACGCCCCTACCCACAGAAGGAAAAGCTGAATTTCAAAATTAGAAATAGTCTGAATTAGAACAAAGCCGGTGGGCAAAATATTGATTAGCTTCTAAATTTCTTCCTCTTCGTGTGAGGAATCTCTGAGACTCCTGACTTCCTGGCTGGCGAGGAAGGAAGAAGCACAGGGCTCGGTTTGTGCAGGCTCCCCACAAAGGGGAAACTTCTAGCGAAAAGCCTAAAATTAATGAAATTTCATGGGAACCCACTTCCACAGATTAGCCCTTGCTTACAAAACAGCCTGGGCCACCAGGGAGAAGAGAGTGGCACTTCGCCCAAGCTTCCGGCCCAAACCGGAACCCAGAGTGGACCTTCCTCTCCCCACTGACCCCGCACCATTGTCTCGTGCACAATCCGCCTTCCAGACTTCATTGTTAAGTCATAGATCACCTGGGCCGGGCGAGACACTTCCTCTTCCAAGTGGCCCCATAGTGAATCACACACACACACACACACACACACACGCACACATATACACACATGCACACACACGCACACATACACTTGCACACACACAAACACACACATAGACTCACACACATACACACACACACGCACACACAAACACATGCGCACACACACACACACACACACACACACACACACACAGAAGGCGGCATTGGTCTGGCCCACAGGGCAGTTTGTACCAATCGTGCTAAAAGAGAAAGCCAGTGACAGAGAAAGCCACTCTCGGAAAACTCTTGTCCCAGTTCAAGCCTCCCCATACACATGAAACTGTGCTGTGCTCCTTCTGAATCGCATCCCCGTGAAGGGGACAAGCACGCTGTCCCCGTACAGAAAGGGCCTGTCTGTCCCTCAGGGTTTCAGGTCTCCAGATACGCTCCCTGCATTTTGCATTTCTCCAGGGATCCCCCTCCAAGGCGCCTATGGAGTGAGGGACATGGAGTTCGCGTCCCCCAGCACGGCCCCGAGAGCGGCTCCCAATGGCTGGGGTGCCTCTGTGGGTCCTCCTGGCTTCCAAGAGGTGGCACAGGGCTGGAGTGGGGGGATGGCATCTGCCCTGCCGCAGCCTGGCCCCAGGCCCATCCCTGGCACTGCGGATGGTTTCCTGAGCACTGCCAGGAGTGAGCCCTGGGCACAGCAGGGTTGGCGTCCGCCCTCCGTTCATGGAGCCGTCGGGTGCTGTTGCCATGTTAAGGGAGGGCAGAATTCCAGGCATCTTCCTGTAGTTCTGAAAGAATTTTATTTATAAGGATGTTGACTCGCCCCCGCCAAACAGCTCCGCCCTGCCTCTCTCCCTCTCCTCTTGCCAAGGGAACAAGCCACGCTGAGCGCGGGGCGGGCGGGGAGACGGACAGGAAGCGCCTCGGAGGAAGCGGGATGGAAGGGAAACGGAACAGTGTGCTCCGAGCAGGGGCACAAGGCGTGTCCGAGTTCATGGATCGTTCCAGAGGGAGGAGCCGGTGGGTAGAGCTGCCACTGCGCTGGGATGTCAAACCCTGTGTCTCTCACACACACACACACACACACACACACACACACACACGCAGGAAGCAGCCTGACAGGGTGGTCCACACTGGGCCCAGGCTATAGTGGCCCACATCCCAGCTGTGTTAGAATATGAAGCAGGACACACGTATGACACGGTATGATAGGGCAGACACACACACACACACACACACACACACACACACTGTAGGAAGCATCATGACAGGGCAGTCCACAGTGGGCCCATGTTATTGATGGACTACCCTGTAGCAATCCATATCCCAACTGTGCTAGCATATGAAGTAGGACACACACACACACACACACACACACACACACATACACACACACACATACATACACACACACCCCTGACAATGCAACAGGGCAGGGCGGTCACTTGGGCCAGCCCTGCAGACTGAGTCCTGCCAGGAGCCAGTTCTCAGACCCTACAGAAGACGGCTGGGGTGCTGCTTTACCCTTTGGGTCAAAGAGATCATGTTTAACATCTTTCACGTAAGGGGCCGTCCAACACCTGCCCATCACCGTCTTGCTCCCCAGAGCTCTGCTCCCGGAATCTCGGTACCCCTCCCCCCATTCCTCTCCACTGCGAAGCCTGCAGTGTCCCGTACCCAGCAGACCCCATCCAGCCCGCTGGACAGTCCCACGGCCAACATCTCTCAATCCTGAACCCGCTGCTGTTTCTCTGACAATGCCCAGTCTACTGTCTTCCCTCAAAAATAGCCTTTCCTTGGGCCAGGAGAGAAGGCGCTTGTCTTGCATCCCACCAACTCCAGTTTGGATCTCCGGCACCATGCACGGTCCTCACTGGACGTGGCACCAGTCCACTCCCCCGCCCCCCACCATAAAACACTGCAGGGTCCAGCCTGGCTCAAGAGGCCGCCGCAAAGGCTTTGCATGCAGGAGCCAGGGGTCCATTGTGGCACCGTGTGGTCCCCCAAGCACCAGTGGGTGTGGCCAGCGCCCCCCAAACAGACCCAAACAGACTTTTCTCCAAATTTATGACAGTCTCTTCCTTTTTCTTCTTCCCTTAGTGCCGGGAACTGAACCCAGGTCTCCTGCAAGCAAAGGAGACCTCCTGTGCTTTGCTGCTGAGTCACCCCCGACCCCCCACCCCCCAAAGACACTCTAAACGTAAATATCTGAAGCAAGCACTCAGCCCTGAGGCTGGGTCTGGGGTGTCCCGGGGGTGTGTGCCCCATTTCCCCTGGCCACCTCTCATCATAGCTCCTTCTAGAAACTGTCCCTGGGCGCAGTGTTTTTTGT